TTCGACAGCCAGAACGGAGTCACAGCAATTACAACTCCGTTCACCTGATACGCCATTTCTCAATTTGGCAACAACATCCTGGCTGGCTAGAGCGGGAACACCGTTTTCGGCATTGATAGGGCAGATTGACAATACCCTATCATCCACATTGCGAGAGCCAACAAAAGAGACAGTGTATGTTCCTCCTGATGGTAAGAATTTGAATGTAGCCAAGCTTCCTTTGCTAGTTCCAACGAGACAGAGAATACTGGAATAATCTGTGCGCGCTTCATTAGCAAACACTAAAACAAGATATAATAGATTACAAAACAAGCAGGTGAAAAAGCCTACTTTGAGATCAGAAAAAAACTTACCGTCTCCATCTAAAGTCATAACTGCAAACTTAATGGACGTAGGCCATTCGGGGGCCGCCTCTGATGCGGAATAGTGGCTTTTCCTAAGACTCAATCGCTTTTGTGGTTTAGTCAATTCCGAGGAGTTTGCTGTAAATATTACTGACGGGCCTCTTAGGTCGATGATCGCAAGATTGCCCGACTGGAACCCAACGCAAATGAAGCCAACATCGCTATGTTCAAGTGCAGTGACCGTCCCTTGGCCTTGGTTCAACAAGGCCACCGGAAGAAATCCTTCTTTGAGTCCAGGATCAGCTCTGCGGGAGATATCAGTCAGTCGTCCTGGGCCGTCATTTCCTTCCAAGGGTAAATCCCGACCCTCGTTTGGATTACGACCCCATTTGAAAATAGCCACTTCGCCGCTCCTTAGACCGGCTGAGAATTCACCTGCAGCTCCTGCCAATGACATCGCGGATACCTCTATGTCATGGAAACGACCAACGGCACGGGCGAGATCAACTTGGATTGTAGCGGGATTTTCAATATGGTCATCATGACCAGAGTCCCACATGCGAATTACGCCATCAGCATGAGCTGTCTGGACAATATCCCGATTTTCATACCGTTTCATCGGCTTTTTGGCGGCTGCGCCTCCAATCACAATGTTTGGTCCATGGGCTCGTTTCTCTCTCCAGCCTAGCCATCTCGTGCGGTCAACATATGATAGAGCGATTTTGTTGACAAATGGGTGAACAAAGGATAGTGACAAATGGAGCATATTTGTGGGAGAAATTGGGTGGCCACTGGGGAAACTAAGAGTGACCAATTCCCCAGAGGAGAGCAGCGTGATCACAGCGATAGGATCTTGTGCATTGGCGAAAAATGGGGATGAGCGCGGAATGAGGACAAAATCTACAACCTCGGCAGCTGGAGGTGTTGGTAATTTGGTCTCGCGTCTGGGTTTCGCAAGATGGTTGGAAAGGATTTGCCATGAGGAGGTCTGGTAGTTTGGTGTTGGCCCGAGATCGAAAAATGTCAAGTGTTTGTTCACTTCTGTTGTTGGCCCACCGCCAGCAATCAACAAGCCAGTATCGTCGGGATTTTCCTTGCAACACCATGCCACTTGGAATATCGGCTCCTTTAAGGAATAGGTTCCTGCTGGTGAATTTGGTGATACTACTGCCCCAGCTTTGTTAACATCGGTATCTACCAATGTTCTGGCCATCACAATTCTTCCATCTTTGGGATCCCAAAACACAAGACTCGAGTCATCATGAGCTGTTAGAATGAAGGTTCCGGTAGGATGCCAAACAGCTTTTGTAAGCCTAGGTCTTCGTACCTCTCGAGATGATGACGGATCTGAGTCTCCACCAGGAGCACCTGGTGGAACCTCATATTGGAAATATTTGAGAGGAACATCCATTTTAATAGAGAACGTCACAGCGCCTTCTGAATATCCAATTAGAAGCTTTCCGATGTCCCGCGGATGGAAAGCCAGCGAAACGATCGGCAAAAGCCTGGACCGAGGACTCCGCTCTTTCCACAGATTAGGGAGCTTGAACGGAGCAATCATGAGGCGGTCGAGGTCGTACGTAACGAGTTCGCCTGCGTGCTGCGCGTTAAAAGACTACATTTGTTTGAAGAGAAATACGTCTGGATGATAGCTTAACCGTATCACCTACCGCTTTGTAGCCCTATGAATGCATACTCCAAACTCGGGTCCGTCAATAGAGCGGTAACATGGCCTGGCGGCGTATAAGCGGCAAGCTTCGTCCGTTTCTCAAGAGAAAATACGCAAAGCTCATGTTTCGAGTCCACCGAGACAATTTTATCCGAGCAAAATTGAAGTATATTAACAGAAGCCTTGCGCGGGAGTGTGAATACTGCAGACACCCTCTCCTGTCCAAATATATAGATTTGTCCGCTCCCATATTGCGTTTCGCTGGTACCGACAGCAAGGAGCGACTGAACAGGATCATAAGCTAGGGTGCTAATCCGAGAGTTTATGCCGTACCTGGCGACCTAAAGTAATAGAATTGTTAGACTTCATCTTTTGTATATCCAATCTGGGTTATTAACGGACATCATCCAACACAAAATGCTCTGGAGCCAGGCCTGCGCTTAAATCGCCATGGATGCCAGACTGTTTGCCTCGTAGAAAATGCGCCATATTGCGTTCGTTATAAGGCTTCCTAAAACAAGTTGACGACGGCTACTGTAGCTAGCCAGCTGTATATGGCAGATAGCATCATACTGCCAACACACTCATCAATGATGTTTGGTAAAGCCGAGCTCAGCTGGTGATGGAAACCGCGAAACCGGCTTTTGTTGGTCGGCTTATCTGAGGACCACGTGACGATAAGAATCGCAGCTGTGGACCCCTTTGCACCAACGACAACACAGACGACAGTAAAAATAACTATGGCTTCAGGTGAAGGGACCTTTCTTGAAGAAATGCAGAAGGTAAAATCATCTATTTGGATTAAAATGCTTAGGTATATATAAGTGCCGCACATTCAGGAACCTTGCCATATTGGTTTCTACCAACAACCTGAAAACTCCAGAAAATGCAACAGCGGGCTAAAAAAGCAGGACAGATAGATCGAACAAAGAATCCTCCCGTAGACGAGACCAATCTCGCCTTCCAAAAGGTAAGCATAGCAGCTTCAAACAACAAATCATTATAGTTAACAGCTCAGCGCAGACATTTCTGCGAGGATCGCCGTTAGCCTTCTTCGAGCACTCATTTCCTCGTCGTCTTGCCAGTTGCGGTAGTATTGCTTCACAATTTCACATATTTGGCGATAGCAGGAATACCTAATGCAGCGTCCACGAATCAGTAACCGACCAATATTGGAGTATAAATGGAACATACGAGGAAAGGGAAAACGAACAGGAGTAAGCGGATACGTAGTAATTCATCGTCCATCTGCATCTGCATCTTGCTAGATCCATATCCATTTAATAGAGCTGCCGATGGATTCTCGAAAACCTTCGCCATCATAACATCACCCCACACAACATCACTGAAATCAACAAATCCCGTCACGTCTTTGGTGTCCTGGTCAACAAGGACATTCGATTCGTCTCCAATATTCACGACAACAAGACGGGGTTCCGTAACAACACCAAGCGCTGGGCTGAGCCGCATGATGTGGTGACGGATCTCAGCGTATGGCAGTGAAATGAACATATCTTCGGCATCATAGAGGATTGATTCAGCGAATATTAGGAATGCGTGTTTCCAACTCTGTCGTCCCCTACCCTGGGAAACGGAATGAAAATTGCCGAATTGGGTGGATGTGAACTGGCCCAGGAATTTTACCGTCCGCCCCAGTTGCTCATCTACACGATTCCGATCTGCAAAAGTGAGAGACGACGGATCAATCTCACTAAGTGGCACCCCGCTGAGTGATTGCTTTAGGAGAAAATAAGTTCTAGGATCAAACTTTAGGACATCGAAGCCGAAGAGACGTGGGATATATGGGCTGTTTCGTGAGGCCAACAACGAAAGTACCGCGGCTTCCGTCCTCAGGGAGTGTTTTTCTTGACGTAGCAGGGTGGTGGGTTGCCTAGGGCTGGCCTTCACGGTGAGATCGAGTCCATTAGAGAGTTTGAGAAGGTAACGTGGATAGACATTATCACGGAGTGGCTTATAATCTAGGACTCGAGCAGAAGGAAATATAGGCTGGATAAGAGTTTGGAACATAGCAAGATCGGGACGGGATTTAGTCTCAGATTCTGGGAGATAGAGGGGCATTTCCTCTTGAAGGAAATGATGTAACAAAAAGTGTATATTTATAATCTTAAACGCTCGAATGCTTTTAGGAGATTTAGATAATCTATCATAATAATACCGTGATATATGTATCGAACAATTCAGATGGTGTTAAATATGGAATTGGCTTCGAAGTATGGCAGCTCGAGTTCCATATATGTGATTGACACACGACCCAACCGTGGGCAAATTTGACATGGTTGACGAATCTCGGATCCAGGATCCATGAAATTGCACGGCAGTCGGGCTATTCATCTTCAAGAGCAACGAGGCGTCTCCAAGGGCCCTGGACGGGCGTCCATGCACTCCGAAACGGAAGCCTATCATTTGTGTTGCCAACGGAGCAGACAAGCGAGAACAAAGAGTTGCTCCATATGATGACCATGGTGGTAGGAGGCAACGGCTGGGAACTAGGAAGAGCGTCCAGAAAAGTTCCTCATTCTCGCCAGTGGAAGGAGCTAGAGCGCGGACGTTGCATCCTCAGGGTCAAGGAAAAAAAAAAGCAAACGGACAAATGGGGCTTGCTGTCCTGGCTGACCGCCACAGCCATGCCATGACCCTCGACACATGGGAGCAGGGTCTGCCTTCTAGCCCTTGGGTTGACAGCGCGTTGGTGATTCGTGAAGGTCAGCTCCATGAGCCGTAGTCTGCCCGAAAACTCGCCAGAATTTGCTGAGTTGAGGAAAAACTCCGGGTCTGGTCCCAGCGTCAACTGGTTGCAGATCTGAAACGGCGGTTGGCAGCTTCGACACTGGTCGGAGGGAACATCGCACTGCCCAATCACGGCCGCCCTTTGGCGAGGTGCCGCTAAGCCTGGGCTGGTTGAAACTCTACGGAGCGCAGATTTGGAAGACGGAACAGGTTGAGATAGTCTGATGGCAACGGCACATCAACCTGGGAAACGAGAAAATGCCAAAGAGATTCGAATGCATGATGGAAGATTGGTCGGTCCAAAAAAGAGATCTTGTCTGTTTTGCGATATCTTGGAGCTAGGGGTTCGTAATAGGGCTCCAATTCAATAATTGAAATTACTAGTATTAGTTGCCCTTTTCCCTACAGGAAGCCAGGATGGCGAAATACCTATTTTCATCAACGTCAGAAGGGATGAACACATCCCCGCCCTCTGTGCACGTTCAGTTTAAACCCAGCCGTCCAAGGGTCAAGACTCAAGGATCTTTTCTGTCTCTATTTGCTGTTGGACAACTTAGAATTACTACTTCCTTGCTTCGGCTAAAACCTAAGCACGAGTGGCTGCGCCTCTGGTTCCGGCCTGCTTTTCCTTCGAAAGGCTGTTTGTGGCTTCCGGGAACAAGAGCGGGAAGCGGAAGCAATATGTGGAGAGGGCCAAGGACCTCAGCACGAAGAAGCTAACTCAAAGAAACCGAAGACCGGCAGACCGAGCAGGTTTCTATATAAAAATTGGTATTTTTCTCCATTTATTTACAATAATTTTTATTTCACACAATATCTCGGAGTTGACCCGATGGTATTCCAGACCAGAGGAAACAAGGAGATGGAAAGCGAAACCATATTTTCGGGGAAAATTGTCCCTCCCCGCAAGGTCAAACAACCACCTCGGGTACAACACAAATGAAGGGATGCGAAGGGCGAAGGGTGAAAATGAGGCGGGTAATCTTGGAAGCCACTGGGTGCTCCTTCGTCGACCGGTAACGAGAGCGAGAGGTGGAACTCATAAACGAATAAAAATATTTTAAAATCTTTTGATATGGATAATGATAAACTTCATGAGAAACAGCAATTGTTAGAACAAGAATAGTAGCGGGATGTAACCATGGCTCAGAGTGAATAATAATACCATGATCCAAGAATAATAGACAAGAAAGAAGCATGGGTCAAAATCGCAAAAAAAAAAAAAAGGGGTCTATTAAGGAGTGCCATCCAAGAAAAACAAGTAAGGATAGGTAATCATGAAGGGAGAAGAAGCAAACGAAAAGGAAGGGGTTCGCCCTTTGCTCACCTCCCAAAATCAGACAGACTCATTCCAGTGAGCGGGAGATTATGGAATCAATCCTGTCAAAGAGAAATCATGATGATGACGATGACGATGATGATATATTATGATGCGCCGCCCCCATAAATATGCCAAAAAAAAAGAAAGGAGACAAAAGTAAATGGGAAGAAAGAGCTTGTGTTAGGACGGAATAAAAGCGGAAAAGAGATAAAAAAAAAGGACATGGGAACCCCTTTGCAATTCGCCGCCATTGTCTTAATGTCGAATATCGAGAGTGTACGGAATAGGATATCCACATCGCTCATCGGGAGAAACGGAGACAAGGCAGGGACGCAAATGGATCAATGTCATCACTTAGGGAGAGGCGGTGTTGTAACATAGCACATCGCCCTAAGGAATTCGATCGTACGATGCTTTTATCTTGTCGTTGCTCACAATGCTTGCTGATTGTGCCACAAAAAATCACCCAGAAAAAATCATCGTGTGCTCATACTCTCTGGACTAAGTATGCCACCACCACTAATAGCAGAGCTACCTCCAACCGCAAGGTCTGGAGGATCTGCTCCATTTACTGTTGCACTCGTCGAACCGTTCATTTTGATATCGTTGTTGCCGTTGTTAGTGGAAAGGATTATCTCAGAATCACTTTCAGCAACCACGCCATCTGCAGATGATTCGTGCCGGCTTTTCTTCGGCGAAATTACCGCGGCTTTATCGTCGGCAACTGTACAGCTAACCTTCTGCTTCCCGAGGGTTTTGGCGCTTGTAGAGCTCTTGGTCTGGTTTGAAGACTTATCATTTCCTAGTTCTGCATTTGAAGGCCCTGCGGTCCCATTGTTTTTCTTGGATTTTTTCTTGCTTGGTTCTGGGGCACCTGGCTTCGAACCACCTGTTCCCGCAGGTGGAGCGGGCCGTTTTTGAGGACTAGAATTTAATCCAGTTCCCAAAGGAGCAGGGGGAATTTTACCGGATGCGGGTACTCGCGGCCTTGCGGCTGTTGGTCTCTGTTTAGGAGGCAGTTCGAGATCCTCAACCAAAGGCTCATCGTTGTTGGCGTGAAGCTTAGCAAGAAAGAAGTTCTGTACCAATCCGATTTGCGAAGGGAGTGTTTGAAGGGATATGCGTGGGTAAGGAGGCGGCGGCGGAAACAATGCAGCAGAAGCTTGTGACGAGCTGTAAACACAACGAATAGTAAGTTATACACATATTACTACAAATATAAAATAGAATCGATGAATCATACCTAGTATTCTGTGCTTGGTGAGCACTATACATCCGGTTCTGGAGCAGGTGGAGTGGTACACTCAAACTGGCAAGTCCAAACTCTTTATCAAGGCCCAGCTCTTTAAATCCAAAGAAATCCTCATCTATGTCCTCTGCGAAATCACCGCCAACAAATTGCTCGCTCCCATCATTGAAAGCGCTGGATCCATCGCCAGTCGTATCGCTAAAAGCCGGCCGAAGCAGTTCAGTAAGATGACTCTTCATTCGTTCATGTATGATGCTGAGTTTCTGACCAAGCCGGTCTACATCCTCCTTGACGTAGCTTTCGAGCGATTCTACATCTGTCCCAACAGATTGAAGCGTATGTAGGATCATCTCTTCTGCCATATAAGGTGATTTCCATTCGGAGGACACCGTAGATTGCTCGGTTCGTGGGATTTTGGGGGATTCCATGTATGTCTTAAGAGTGGACCCAATTTTATAGAAGAAATCAGCTGCGACATCCGTAACAGCATCAAGTGCAGATGGCTGATACTCCTCGAACCCAGCATTATAGAAGATTTTTCCAACAGAGCGCTGAAGGGCTGCTCTACAGACCCATGGACTTATGACGGGTCCATCGTCATTCATCACATGAGTTGGAACATCCTGCTCCACAAAGGGCTCTGGGTTGTATTTCTGGAATTGATTTTGATACATCTTTATAATATATTAGGTGAACTGTTCTTTGACTTAACAAAAAAGCAAACACGAGAAGGAACACGTACCTGCGATTGGAGCTGCATCTGCTTAACGATTCCTATTTTCGAGCAGACTTTCCTTGTTTCCTGCATTTGACGCATGTTCGCGTCCATTTTTTTGGAGAATTTGCTCTTGGGTGCCGTGAAATAGCCTTTGGGGAGAATTCTAAGAAACTCTTCCGAAGGATCTACAACATTACCTTCAGAGTCTTCAATCCAACGTAACTGTTCAGGGAGGTCCGGAATCCCCGACATCGTATCGTAGTAGTCAGGCAGCATTTTATCTTCCTCCACCTCAATCCCTTCTGCCAACGTCTCCCCAGTAGTCTCCACCTCTTTAGACTGTGGGCCAGCAATATCAAGCCTGTCGCTTTCCTCTGTGGCTGGTCTTTGGTTTCGGAGCCATCGCCTCATCCCAGCCTTCGATCTCAGCAAAGCTGGCTCATCGGCATTCAGCTTGTCCTCTTTGAAAAGTCGATGTCGTTCGGCGGCGAGAAGGGCCCTGTCTTTTTTAGTAACTTGTTTCCATATTTTATATTCAGGGTCTTCAAAATCGATCATTGGACGCGACAACGCGCTTGAGTTGACAGGGACACCAAATGCATCGATGTCCATGGCATCACCTTGGCTTCCAGCTGCACCAGGACCAAGACCATTTGAACCAAGAGGAGTCAATGTGCCAGGAGGGGGGGTCGAGAATCCATTCTGACTTCCCTCAAGAGCCGTATCAAATTCAGCACCCACTGCGGTCCCTCCTTGAGTTTTATTCTCCGCCCCCGGTGTAGCTTCAGGTCGGCTTCCGGGAGCTGTTCTACCAGTTCCTATGCCCTTTTTCGATTTCATTCCGGGAGCTTTGCGACCTCTAGATGACATAATCGGCTCATCGTCGCTCTCTTCGGCGCCATCGAGCTCGGCCAATTGAAGTCTTCGTTCCTCAGCTTCAACCTCAGCACGATCCCGAATAACGATATCTGGTATTAAAGGGACAAGCTTCTCGGTTTCCTTTCTCATATAAAGGGCATGTTTTCGGAGGAAATGTTCCGGATTGGCGTTGTACTTTAGACAGTTAGTCCATATGAGATTGAGATCCTCGACGAACTCCTGTTTCGACTTATATTGGACCGCCTTGAGTTTTTTAGTCATTGTCCCTAGGTCCATTGGTCGTTTGATAACTGGGATAGTGAGTAAGAATTGGAGCTCAAAATTATCCAAGAACCGAAATTTACAAAAAATTGACTCACTATTATAGTAGTCAGGTGCTTCCCGTTTATTCACTCTCGTCAAGAAAGCGCTAGAATGCTCTGTCATAGCTTTCAACTCGCTAAGGACCTTTTCCGCAGCTTCATAAAGCTCCTCCTGACCTACCTTCTCCTCGCTCGCCCATTTACTCCGGTTTTTCCTTACTTCGCTCATCAGACTTCGAAGCTCAGCATCCGAAGCTTGGACTTCACTGCGTTTCATATCAATTCGCGCAATTAGGTTCTTTAGTGTCAGGCTTGAGGCGCCAAGGTTCGCGCTGCTCAAGGTTCCGTGGCCAGAGGTTGTAGCATTAGCGGAATTTGCACTGTTGGCCCCTTGCCCGGACATTTCCGCCTCGACTTGTCTCTCAGATTCCTCTAGCCTTTGCTGGTCCAGCATAGCATCCCGGTCATTCTCTAGGGTATAAAACACGGTATGGAAGTTTCGTCTTGCAGCCTCCTCGGTTGCCTTTTTATCCTCCTCTAATTTTTTGCGGATATCTTCTAATGACTGTTTCCTTGGGTCTTTCTGAGTTTCTGAGGTTTTAAGGGCGATCGACGGTTTTTGTGGCGGTGAAGGAAGGGTGTTAGGTTCTGATCGAGCAGGGGTGGGCTTCGGTATGATAAGGGGGGAGGGAGCCGGAGGAACGCTTTCGCTTTCATCGTCGTCGTCGTAGTCGTCATAATCATCTTCGTCTAGTTTGCGAGCTGCCTTTCGGGCTGGAGCTGAAGATTGCACCTGGCCGTCGGCTGCGATACTAGTTTCCTCGGCACCCTGAAGAGCTCCAGGTTCATTGTTCCCGGGATCTGAAGCTTTTCCAAAATTAAATAATGCGCTAATTTTCGCTTCGCCTTTCTGATAGCAGTCTCGAAAGGACGCAATGCGCGGGTCTTCTTCCGGGATGGTGTCCGCATCAGATATCATATTTCCAGATTGCGACCCGTCTGCGATACCGCGGAATCGCAACTGAGGAGTACGGGGTCGTGATGGAACTTTTGAGAGGCCATTGGTGGAAGGGTGGGGATCATGGTGGTCATCAGGCGGTCGGAGATGACCTGGTAGGAGCCAGTTGTGGTGTTGACCGATAGACATTACCGCTCCAAACCCCCAGCACTGGGGCGGGCGAGGGGGCTCGTCCCTCCACGCTTTTGGCCGGGTCACCGTGCGGCAGCAACAGGACGTAGGAGGGACAAAAGTGGTATCAAATGAAATCCAGGATCAACGTGACCTGTCCGGCGATACGTCTGGGGCCGGAAATGATGGCTGTGTCGCGTTATCGATGGCAAACGACCCGGCTTCTTTGGTGGAGATTCTTGCGGAGGTAACAAGACGTGAAGTTGCTCAGCTAATATCAGCATCGGCGCGGGTCACGGGACCTGGAGACCACCCTAAAAAGCTTCCAAGGATCCCAAAAACGACACCAAACAAGGCACCGCAGACAAGAAAATATCACTATTTTATAGACTTAGCTATATTATCGCATCTCTACTACGGTAGAGACGGAGTTTCTCTCTGTTCATCTCATCCCAATTTTCATCAGAAAGATATGGCCGCCCAGGTTTCTAACAAGCTATCATCTGGTCACTAAAATCGTCACACTCCATTTCACCTGCAATTTCCCCAGACTAGAAGCTCTCCCCGAAGCCACTCTACCATAGAGTGGGAAACGTACATCCACGAGAATTTTGCTATTCTTTAAATCAATTCCATATCATTAAACAGCCGCCATGCTGCGGATACGTTACCCATTTGCTGGTACGTATTCAATACCTGCTGGAGATCCGGCTAGGCTACGCGCGCTTCTTATATACCCCAAAGCTTTTTCTTACTCTGCTCGTTTCTAACAAACCTCAATGGAATCCAGCCTCATTTGCTCTCCTCTGTCTCCTATCCGCTTACATCGGCCTCCTTCCACGCAACAACAATGCATCTCCAGGCGGAAATGGCAAGAATAAATTACCTATCTCCACCATGCCTTCTCTCCAACCCAACGACAAAGTCCTCCACCTAGTGACCTTCTTCTTGCTCTCCCTCACCTTCTACTGGGTCCTAGACATCACGCGCAGACGAACCCTCCACCTAACCATCATCGTCTGTACAATGTGTCTTGGAATCGGCTCGGAGCTCGTTCAAGCACTCCTCCCCAACGGCCGTTCCTTCGACCCCTTCGACGTCCTCTCAAATATCGTCGGCAGCTTATGTGCTGTCAGCCTATGTACATGGTATCACAAACGGATGCTGGAACGGCGGCGCAAGGTTCGCTTTGGCAACGTGTTGAACGGGGTAGGCGAAGATGTTGAGCTGGGAGGCGTTCATTCGGAGAACGGGGATCATGGAGGACTTGGTCCGCAAGAAACGGGTGTCACGAGGGGACCACTGTCACTGGAGCAAGAGGTGGACAATTGGGACGAGAATGCGGTGGATAATTGGGAGGAAGGAGCCGACGACATGCAGACGACGAGAACAGGTGCGGAAGATGATGGGCAACGGACTCCCCCGAATAGTTCGGGAAATAATGGTGTTGAGGATGCGCGGAAGATACTGCCTGCTTGATCGATTGGTTGATTGTTTCAATTACGATTTCGTGATTTATTCCGCTGGCGAATAGATTTGATTTGACTGGATAAGATTTTTTTTTTTTTTTTTTTTTAATCTTTCGTGCACAACAAAGAAGGAAAGAGAAAATCGACGGACGGAAAGTCTGACAATATCTTGCGACGCGAAGGGCGTTACATATCGTGGTCTCTTTTCGTTTGTTTATTTCTGTTTTATCTATGCTTTTTTCCCACGCTTACGATCACTTTACTATTTCTGCCCATCTAGCCCTTCACTCGGAATACTTACTTTAGCATCCGGTTTGTATAATTGGTGATATTACGCTTATGACCAATGATTGTATTATTCCTATCGTTCCCACACATCCCCCTGTCCCAGTCCTGTTATTGTACTTTTGGTTTTATCAATTCTTCTATGTTGTTTGGACTTTACGAATTGCAATTTATGAAAATGTATATATCTCCATATATATCGGATAACGTCAGGTAATTACGGGTTGTCTTTATTTTCCTCCCAACTGATGCCCTCACGTGTGCATCAATGCATATTGCGAATAAAAATGTTAAATATGCGGGATAAGATGGAAGGGGTGGGGATATAATTTACGCTTAAGAATAATTTCCAAACAGGAAATTAATATTGAATAGATCTTCAAGACTGTTTTTCAAATATCTCAGGTCGCTCTTTGGCTTTCTCACGTTGAAGAAAAGTTACTATATATACAACTCAACAAATAAACAGGTAATTGTGCGTCAAGCACAGCGGAAGATCAAACACAAGGAAAGGAGTCCAGCCAGTCAATGTCCGTCTGTATTTGATGTTGGACGCGCACAAGAGATGAATTATGAATTATGTAGGAAATGGAAGTTTAATCAGAAAGCAAGAAGCAAAACCACAGCACAGGAGAGGGAAACCATTCTTCCCATGAAATTCGTCAGAGTCACTAGTCCTCTATCAAAAACCCAAATGCATGCAGGTCATACACAAAGCTTTAAATACGTCAAAGAAAAAAGAGAAAACCTCATGATGATAAAAGGCAGGGAGGTTTCCCAAGAAAAAAAAGGGGGGAATGAGGTTGATGCAAGATGGAAAACATGCAATGTCATAAATGATTAAATCATTGATAACTTGGTAATCCACATCATCGATTAAAAGAAGACAACATATCGATAACAGAAGGGTCGGAGAGAAAGGGAATGAACAGTGTAAGTGGAAAGTGTATTTAAACGGCAAATATATAGATAAAGCAGAGTCATTTAAGAAACATGGGCGCAAAATTTTTCGTATCCAAAAATGGGAAAGTGCGCTTAAATAAATATGGCGACTAACCTCCAGACCTCTAACTTGCGCCCTGCGTAGGGATAAAATCAATAATTGGAATAAGCTCTTCCTTTTGTGTAGGTTCAAACGCGCTATCGTCAGAATACTTTGCCATCTTCTGCGAGCGTGATCCGGAGGACTTCGCTTTCTTGCCAGGTATATTATCCTGGCCAAGAAAATTGAGAGCTTGTTCTTTGAGAATATCGTAAAGAAACTGGTATTGCATTTCAGTATAGACCATGGACATCCGCTGTTCGCGGAGGAGATTCACCGTATCGAAAATCGGATCTGCGCCGCTGGTTATCTCCAATAGGCTTCCTGTCTGCATCTCCCTCAACAGGTGATCGATGGTTATGAACGTGCCTGTGCGGCCTACACCGGCACTACAGTGTACAATGCGAGGATTTTCCAGCGAGCCCGCCCTTTCTGCCGAAGCTTTGGCTAGCTCGATGAGAGCATCACGGTCATTCCCCTCTGGTTTCATATAATCAGACCACCCAGCAAATAGATAATGCCAGACAATCTTGGTTTGAGATCCAAGGTTAAGTTCGAGTTTGCGAATTTCAGAGCGACATTTCTGGTCGTAGGTATATTCCAGGAGGGTCACCTTTCCAACAACGGATTTATCCGCCTGATCTTGACCCTTACGATCTATAAATGGATCTGATAGGGCATGGTGAAAATGAAAAATGGGGTTTTCCATGCTCGACGGGAAATATGGCGCACATTTCTCTTTGCCCTGTTCGTAGCTTTGAGTAAGCATAATGACAACTGCAAAGTCTCCGCTTTCATGAAACACCATATTCCAAAAGTGTTCTATGTAGTCAGTCTTTGGACCCTGGTTGAAAGTATTAGCGCACTCTTGCACTTTTCACCGAATAATAAATAGAGAACGGCATGAGGTTCAATATGTACCTGTGCAGCAATATAGCGAGCAGGACTTCCGGTTTTAGAGTGGCTCAAAGAAATCGGCGATGCGTTGATAAAGTCGCAGTCCCCATCTGGTACTTTAAGATGAATCCGAGAATGCGACCACACTTGTATGTTGATGTACCGATTCCTTGGTAGAATTTCCGGGCGATTTTCCAACACCCATTTCTGCGATTCATTCCCCGCCACTGATTCCCGGGCTCCGGACAAACGAGCAGCCTGGAGAATTTCAATTTCGTTGAATTTCTGGTGTATTTCTATCCAAGCAGCAAACATAAATATTAGTCCGTTGATATACAACTCCAATGTTTCTAAAACTAACCTGCAGGTGAGGAATTTAAAAAAGGTGGAATATCCTGTTTATCCGTGCTATCCTCAGTCGACATGCTACCATCCTCCTCTTTATCATCGTCTTCTTCCTCTGACATCGACGCCCGCTGTCCCGAAGCCCCACTACCCACCGAGCGTGAACGCTTCATCAATGATGGTTGGAAATGAGTCTCTGACATCTTCGCAGCCGCTTTACGTCGAAGTGATTTGGCTTGCCCGAGGAGATCTCGTACCTTCTTGGGCGTGCGGTGTCTAGAGTTGCTGCGCGAACTACTACCTTGGTGGTATGGGAGGGAGGTGGAGGAATTGTTGGCAGTTTTCGGAGAAGCACCAGAGCCCGCTGTTGAAGTTGGAGATGCGGCATCCAACGCCCCGGGGCTAGGACAGCTATCAGAGCTGTTCACTGCGGCTTGTGGTGCCAGGATCGTTGTCCACTCGCCCAAGCGAGTCGAGGCCGTCGAAAGTATTGATGGATGCCTTCGAATGGCGATGGTGAAATGGAAACACCGAAGTCACAAACAAGAGGCAAAATGAATGGAAATAGGAACGCACATTAGCTAGTTAGATAGCATTTAAACATGCTCCTACGTCAGTGTTTGTCAATCAGTGATCTCGTTCGCCAACCGATCTACTTTTTGTGCTGCGTAATCCAAGGCGGGAGTCGTTTGGAATTGGAGTTCAGTAACACTCAATCCAAATCGCCCTTTATATCTAGATATATGGCCAGCAATTTACCTATTAAATATGTTGTTATGGGTAGTTGATTCTCAAGGGATATGGTGTTGAAAGGTTTGCAAGTGGGATCAGGGATGGCAGCTGGCTTAGTTACTCGTGGCAGGCCGTCAATCGATTAACTATTTATAGCAGAATTTCAGTGAAACGGCACACGAGAGTGATTAATGAAGTTAGAAGGCGAAGATTCGCCATGAAAAGCAGATTTATTGTGAGTGAGCGAGCGAGCGAGCGACGAGTGAGTGGGAGTTCAATTCAATTTATAAAATACTGTATCCCCTCGTCTGGCCGCGAGGCACAATTAGCGCAATACTATTAGTGTACCAACTAAGCTGTTAGCTCTGAAGTACCAACCAATAATTTCTCATACTAAATTCTATATAATCTGATTTGCTGGTACTACTCCACTATCTCACATTTTCTGCTCTACATGTTCTGCAACCTTGGAATCTCTTGAATCTTGATCCAGATTCATATCCACTGCAGATGCAACCACCCTGGCCACTCTGATCACTTTAAGATGGAAATATGACTTCTACAGATGGTTTTCAATTCTTCAATGCTTTTTTTAATCAGATTGACTGATTTTTTTATCAGACAATATAAAAACAGATGTCAAATGAAAGTGATTTATCAGTGCATTTTTAGCAGACATCTCATCTTTATAGAGTATTAGATTTCAATTTATAAAATCTCTTCATCACTTTTCAATTATCAATCTGCTCAATATTGATTCATGAAATCTATACACTCTATTCTCTCTCTATATCTCAAAGTCTGATATTCAAAATATTGCCTGTTCCATCAATGTCTATACAGAGATTCAAATATCAAAGAACTCAGTTATCAATTCTCAGAATTGACAATTAATCACTTCTATAAAAATCAATATATTTTTTGAACAGATTATCTATATGAGAGTATATAGATCTTCAGCAATTAAAGATTATTAAAATAAAAATGATGCTCAGAAACCATTTCATTCCTCAAGATTTTATATAAAATAAAAATGATTTAAGCAGTTTAAGAAATATATTTATATATTCAATTCTTGCAAATCAGAATCCTTCATCATACAGAAGTTAGAGTCTTTATATTTCAACTTTCATATAATATATAAGAAATATTATAACTCAGATTCAAATCTCTTTATTAAGGAGATGATGATTCAGTTTTTTGAATGATTCAAATACACAATTAAAATGCCTTAGAAATCAATCAAATAAAAATATAAGATTTTTAAATTAAAAAAACAGAATTATTTTTAAATCTTTTTCATATTTTATAATAATCTCTATATAAGTACAATGTTCTATATTTCAGAATTAATCAAAATTGAATGTTTTGTGATGAAATTGATTGAATGATTATTAATATTTTTACAGATCTCTAAGCAGCAGAGCTTCTTGCAGCACTCTGAGCAATATATAAAATTAAATAACAATAAAAAAATTGTTGATTATTCAATTTATATGAACAACTATTTCATTTCTATTGCTCTATTCAATTATTTTTAAAAGCAAAAAATTGAAGCTTGTGAAACCACTCATTTTGTCAATCTGCCTCCTCTTTTACAAGCACTGAAGAACTCTGAATTATTCACTCATATTTCTTTCAATACTTTATATATTGTCTTTTAAAATAAAATTCTTTGTTTTGTATGAAAAGACAATAATGTAGTTTTACTACTGTCTACAGTTCATAAATCAGACAGTTTCATTGAATGTATTTAGAAATATTCTGAAATCAATTCCATCAATGACTTACAGATTTGATATCTATTTGATGATAAATATGAACAAGTTATAAAAATTTCTATCATTATTAATGATTACAATCATAATATGAATGGGATTGATCTAGCAAATCAGTATAAAGCTTTCTATGAAACTCATATACTCACTAATCACACATGGTTGTCAATTCTATACTGAATTATTGATCATGTAATTGTCAATGTTTATATTCTTCATTAATTGATTATTGCTATTTTAAATTCTACTACTGCTCTGAGCTCTATTATTGCTTCAGACTCTGCTGCTGCAAATTCTGACTTTATTATTTTATCTTATATTCAATTTCATCAGCAGTTCTATCTTCAATTTCTTGAATTTTCAAACTTTCTATCTTTCACTTAATCAAATTCAGATCTAAATCATCATCAAATTTATCTGTCAGAATTTCAAACTTATGTTTGATGTCAGTATAAAAGAAAAAGAGTAAAGTAGAATAAAGATAGAGCTTCAAAATCAAAATATGATTGTGCTGCATGTAATAATATTTCTCTCTGTTTGAAAAGTCAGTGTTGGCAGAAGTTCCATTTTATATCTTAATTAAAGCTAGATCAAATAGATTACATAGATTACACAAAAACACATTAATACAGCTAATCTATCATATAATCCAGTAGATTTCGCGTTTTTAATACACCAATATACACGCTAAAAAACGGCGCTAATTGTGCCTCGCGGCCAGACGAGGGGGATATGAGGTAATCACGTGCGGTGGAGGGCCGCCTAAGCAACTAGTGCCCAACACCCCCCCCACGCGCCAACGTGCGTGATGTGTTTCTATGAATCTTCCATGCTAGCTATCTCAACTTGGATCATTCTAAAATCTGCTACATACAGAAATTTAATCATTTTTGTTGTTATCAATGAAAAGTTTTAATAAATCAATGAAATGTTTAAATACCACTGTGCTCATAGGTTTGATTATGTAAGAAACCCCGCACTAAGGTGCCAGTGCTAGGCCGGAATTAGCGATAGCCCTAAAGATATGACATCGCCGAACATAACACCACCAACGTCATATCAGAATATGACATCGCCGAACATAGCACCATCAATGTCATATCAGGTTTGAAATCAAGGCATTATCTTGCCACTTGCATCATACTATGCCATCTACATCATAGCAAGTTCGATCTGCTTATGATACTGTGTGTATATAGCTAGCAGCTGGTCCAATCTTCTAGAGACCAGCAGATCATTCTGTTATAATCTGACCTCTATGTTCTACACCCTCAATATCTAACTACTTGATCTGAATCCTCTCTGATATATCACTGTATTATCTCCTACTGCTTGATCCTCGTAGAGTCCTAAGGACCAACCGAAATATAAGCAGCCATTTCTAACATCGCTGCTTACAGATTAATCCGTTTGCTATCATATTCTCAGTGGGAATATATTTAATAGAAATAATGCTTTCATTCAATTGTGTGTGAAAATAGTGGAAGTGAGTGTTGATATGCTTGCTGTGTGCTGTGATCATGGCAATAATAGCTAAATCAATCAAATTTTTATTATTTACTTTGATAAGCAAAAGGTTCTTTGCTGTAATGAATTCTAGTTTCATCATTATATTGTATAACCACATTGCTTCATATACTGCTTCACCGAGTGCCATGTATTCTGCCTCATTTAAATTTAAAGAAACACAAAATTGTTTGAATGAATATCATGAAATTGATGCATTTATTAATTTGAATATAAAGTTTAAAATAAATTTACATTCATCATTCAATGATTCTGCTCAATCTGAATTTGTATAATTTATTAACAAATATAATGTGTTGAGAAATTCATTGATTTTGTTCCTGAAGCTTTTATATAAGATGTCTAAATTGCTTATTTCTTTTAAATATTGTATGATGTAGAGAAAAGCTTTTTACATTTTAGATGTAGATGCAGTATTCTTCTGCATTAATAGAAATACTGCTCATATAATGTAGCGTACGCAGCTCAGTAGGATAATACACGTCTGATTCTCTAAAAGATGAAGATGGGCGGACGCCCCTATATATACATGCTTGTTTATTTACAGTGATTGATTCCTGCGGAAGGAGCGATCGCAGGGTTATAAAAGGAAGGATAGAAGCCTTGAGTAGGGGCGGAAGAAGGAAGGGGTGGAGCGGAAGCTCTGGGAATCAGCGAGGGGTGGGTAGGGGCGTAAGTACGCCACAGTCCCCCTGTCGGAAAAAGGAGCGGTCGCGGAGAATGAGGATGACGTCGAAAGAAGGTGGTAGAAAATATGAAACGCTGCGGGTGCTAAACCTAATGAGGAAGATGGGGGCGTAGGAGGCGGGACGCTAGGCCTTTTTGAATATGGGTCGATATCATTTATATAAAAAAGGGCAGGTAAACAAGGGGCTGGGACAATAAGGCGATAGGATGCCAAGCGGACGTCATAAGGAAAGAGGTTGGGTAGCGGTTGGATTCGTTGTCGAAAGCGAAAGAATACCCTGGGCGAGAAAGGCCTTGTGTAAGATAAAGAGACCAGCGGAAGACAGCAAGGAGGTTGAGAGAATAGAAAGGATTAACAAGGGGATTGAAGACAAAAGACCGTAGAGCAAGCAGAAGGAATGGAAGGCGGAAGATTTGTAGGTGAAAGAAAAAAAAGGGGGGGGAGATTCTTTGTGTGGCGGGGGCCTTCTGACGGAAGGCTGGGGGTTATGTGGGTGAATGGAGCCGCAGGCATATAATGCGATCGTTTCCCCTTCTTCTTCCTTCTTATTTCCCACATCCTCCCTGTCTTGCAGTATCGAACGACGTCAACGCAGCAATACGCGATAGAGCGACACCATTATTCATCCGCCATAGGGCTGCTGAGCGAAGCGTTGGGCAAAGATTTCGGGCGAACCCTAGCAGAACCTGCGAAAGAGTCCACCGCGCGTTTACGAGCCGACTTACTTCGACACGATGGGTCCCAAAAAGACATCTGGATCATCAAAGGTGGGAGGAGCAGGCAGCCAGGGCGAACGACTTGGCCAGAGCGGCACGAAAAAGGCCTTGGAGAAGATATTCCGGTCGCTGAGTCAGGAGGAGCGTGACGCCCTTCTTCATGTGAGTGAGGAAGAGGGGGAACTGGAGGAGGCGGACGAGGAGACGGACGAGGAGACGGACGACGGAGCGGAAAAGCCGGCATTTCGCACAGCGGGTGAGTTAGGACTGTTTGATCCCGCCAACCTCGGTTTATACATTTTCCCCGGGGCCGATGGGTGTCCGATACTAACGCCTTATCCGTTCGCAGACCTGAAGAAGTCGTGGCCTTCGAAAACGCGTCGATTTTCAGACGAAGATACGGATGTGGAAGTGGACGCAGGGGGTGAAGAGGATCCTAGGGGGGCAGCAGCGGGGGACGAGGCGGACGAGCCAGAGCTGGCAGAGGTGGTTGAGGAGGCCAAGATGAGCGGTGGGCGACGGTCGTCTATTTTATCTTCTGGAGGCCGTACAATCGACTGTATGGCGCAAGATCTGAAGGTGTTGGGGCGGCCGCCTAACCTTGACAAGCATAATCTAGACGTTGTCCAGGCCGCTCGGAAGGAATTAGACCGGATTGGCGAATTCAAATACCAATTGCGTAAGGACCTACCGGCTGATCCAGCCTTGGGGAAGGTCTATCGTAAGGTAGCGCGAGAGGGAAAATATCATTCGTTTACGCTTCACGACGGTCTCTTGTTTTTCACCAACGATCGCCTCTGCATCACGCAAACCCTAGCCGAAAGCCTTATTCGCTTGTGTCATGACGCAGCCGGACATCCAGGGCTTCATCGGACGGAAGACATTGTTCGCCGATCCTTCTTCTTGCCTCACGCTCGCAGACGAATCCTCGATCGCATTTCACGATGCCCGAATTGCCAGCTGTCTAAGCCACCCAACCACGCTCAGTGGGGCAAATCACACCCCATCTCGTCCCCGAAAGAGCCGTTCGAGGTCCTCTCGATAGATTTCATTACCGGACTGCCCGTAAGCGACAGCCGTGACACTATATTGACAGTCACGGACAAATTCTCCAAAGCCGTGATTCTAGTCGCAGGGCAAGAGAAGTGGGACGCGCCGCGGTGGGCGGAAGCGTTCTATAAGGAGGTGATCTGCCGCTGGCAGCCCCCGCTGGCGATTATCTCAGACAGGGACCCCAAATTCACGTCGCAATTTTGGAAGTGCGTTCTTCGGTTGATGGGAGTCAAGAGCTGGATGACGACCGCCTACAATCCTCGCTCAAAGGGCCAAAGTGAACGAACCAATCTCACTGTCGAAGTCACCTTGCGAGCGCTTCTCATAGGCAAGTATGAAGCGGGCTGGAACGCCCTGCTCAACCAGGTGGAAAGAACGTTAAATTCGGTAGCTGCCCACCCGGCAGCGATCTCTCCTTTCGAGTTACTCACGGGCGTGAAACCAAGGTGGCTACCATTAAAGAACGAGGAAGCTCCGGCGGACGTAGCTGAGTTCATCGCCGCACGGGACGCAGTGCGGCGGGACGTCCTGGATTTGTACGCTCTCGCAAAAGCCAAGATGGCCGAGTCCTTCGACCGCTCCCACTCTCAGCCAATCATTCGGGTAGGCGACTTCGCGTTCCTGAACCTGGCCCGCAAAAACGAGAAAGGGTATGTCGTTCGAGGATCCTCCAAACTTTCGCCCCTGCGAATAGGCCCATTCAAGGTCGTCGAGAAGATCTCGGATGTCGCCTTCCGCCTACAGCTTCCCCCCAAATGGCGTATGCACCCCGTTATTTCCGTCATTCATTTGGAAAAGACGCTCTTACGTCCCGCAAACCTCGAACACCCGCCACCCGAACCAGTCATGGTAGATGGTCAGCCACAATTTGAGATCGAAAAGATCATCGGAAGACGCATGGAGAGCGGCGAGACCTACCTCCAGATCAAGTGGAAAGGATACGAAGACCCAACCTGGGAATCTCTCGACGTGATCGCAGAGGATACCCCGGACCTTGTCAAAGCCTTCATGGCCAAGAAGCCGCGCGGTCGACCGCGTAAAAAGTAAGAAGAATGCGAGAGAGAAAGGAGTGAGAAGGAGAAAGAAAATTCATTACCAACCTATTTTTAGCTACCCGATCGCGCGAAAGAAAACAAAAGAAAAGAAGGAAAGGAAGAAAAAGAAAGAATAAAGGAAAACACCCCCCTCGATCATACCCCACCTTCGTCCACCCAAGCAAACGACGCAAGCAGCAAGAAATCAAAGGCCTTCCGCCCCATTCCAGAGACAACAAAGGAAATACCCCCTTCCGCTTCAACCCCTTCACCAATCATCCTCGAGCTCATGTTGCAGCTTGGCCTCCTGCCTAGCAAGGCGTGCGTCCCAGAATGCAACGTCCGCCGACAACCCACCATCCATAAGGTCGCTGAAGCGTGCCCCGCTGGGCAGCTTGAAGAAACGGTTATTGGCGATGGTATCCCCCGCAGCTGAAACCACAGCGAATTCGCCAATCCGGTCTAATTCCTTCCGAGCGGCCTGGACAACGTCTAGATTATGCTTGTCAAGGTTAGGCGGCCGCCCCAACACCTTCAGATCTTGCGCCATACAGTCGATTGTACGGCCTCCAGAAGATAAAATAGACGACCGTCGCCCACCGCTCATCTTGGCCTCCTCAACCACCTCTGCCAGCTCTGGCTCGTCCGCCTCGTCCCCCGCTGCTGCCCCCCTAGGATCCTCTTCACCCCCTACGTCCACTTCCACATCCGTATCTTCGTCTAAAAATCGACGCGTTTTCGAAGGCCACGACTTCTTCAGGTCTGCGAACGGATAAGGCGTTAGTATCGGACACCCATCGGCCCCGGGGAAAATGTATAAACCGAGGTTGGCGGGATCAAACAGTCCTAACTCACCCGCTGTGCGAAATGCCGGCTTTTCCGCTCCGTCGTCCGTCTCCTCGTCCGTCTCCTCGTCCGCCTCCTCCAGTTCCCCCTCTTCCTCACTCACATGAAGAAGGGCGTCACGCTCCTCCTGACTCAGCGACCGGAATATCTTCTCCAAGGCCTTTTTCGTGCCGCTCTGGCCAAGTCGTTCGCCCTGGCTGCCTGCTCCTCCCACCTTTGATGATCCAGATGTCTTTTTGGGACCCATCGTGTCGAAGTAAGTCGGCTCGTAAACGCGCGGTGGACTCTTTCGCAGGTTCTGCTAGGGTTCGCCCGAAATCTTTGCCCAACGCTTCGCTCAGCAGCCCTATGGCGGATGAATAATGGTGTCGCTCTATCGCGTATTGCTGCGTTGACGTCGTTCGATACTGCAAGACAGGGAGGATGTGGGAAATAAGAAGGAAGAAGAAGGGGAAACGATCGCATTATATGCCTGCGGCTCCATTCACCCACATAACCCCCAGCCTTCCGTCAGAAGGCCCCCGCCACACAAAGAATCTCCCCCCCCTTTTTTTTCTTTCACCTACAAATCTTCCGCCTTCCATTCCTTCTGCTTGCTCTACGGTCTTTTGTCTTCAATCCCCTTGTTAATCCTTTCTATTCTCTCAACCTCCTTGCTGTCTTCCGCTGGTCTCTTTATCTTACACAAGGCCTTTCTCGCCCAGGGTATTCTTTCGCTTTCGACAACGAATCCAACCGCTACCCAACCTCTTTCCTTATGGCGTACCTAACCCTAACCCTAACCCAACCTCTTTCCTTATGACGTCCGCTTGGCATCCTATCGCCTTATTGTCCCAGCCCCTTGTTTACCTGCCCTTTTTTATATAAATGATATCGACCCATATTCAAAAAGGCCTAGCGTCCGCCTCCTACGCCCCCATCTTCCTCATTAGGTTTAGCACCCGCAGCGTTTCATATTTTCTACCACCTTCTTTCGACGTCATCCTCATTCTCCGCGACCGCTCCTTTTTCCGACAGGGGGACTGTGGCGTACTTACGCCCCTACCCACCCCTCGCTGATTCCCAGAGCTTCCGCTCCACCCCTTCCTTCTTCCGCCCCTACTCAAGGCTTCTATCCTTCCTTTTATAACCCTGCGATCGCTCCTTCCGCAGGAATCAATCACTGTAAATAAACAAGCATGTATATATAGGGGCGTCCGCCCATCTTCATCTTTTAGAGAATCAGACGTGTATTATCCTACTGAGCTGCGTACGCTACATGAGCGCGGAATGTGAGATAAAAGAGATTATATAAAAGAATTTTTAAAAGCTACATAAGCACAGAGTGCAATAACAAAAATGAGTAGATGTAAAAGAGAAGTTGATTGTATCAATTAACTATTAATAAATGCTAATTTATTATATAATCATTGTTTAGAATTGTCACTGAGCAAGTCTTCACTATATTTCAGAAAAGATTTTGATAATTATATAAATTGATTGTAAAGCATACAAAGTGCTTTTAACATCTCATAAAATACTCTATATAAAATGAGTGAGTATTTTTAAAACAATAAAAATCATATAATGATTATATGAGAAGTTAATTTTTACTTGATTAAACGATGTGATGGCAGGCGGGCGGCCGAAAGAACCCGGCCCCGTCGCCATTTTGCGACGTCCACTCGCCAGGCTGTGCCGCCACGCACCCTTCCTCCAACATGCACGCATCCAATCAGAGTGATGGCCATGCTGCACCACCTTTGAAACGCTCCTCTGCCAGCCCGTTTTCATTCACCTCAACCACCCTCCCTCACACCAAGCCAGAGGCCACGCTCTTTTCGTGCCGGGCGACTCAAAATGGATTGCTCCCCCTCTGCCAGTCGCTATCTTCCCTTCAGGGAAGAGAGGTGGCCTTCTACCCTTCTCATTTCACTCCGGATGCGTCCGCGATGCTCATCAATGAGTTCTTCCAGCTTGTTGTCGTTTCCATATCACACCATCATCCTTCCTCTCATCTTTCCCCTGTTCTGCGTTCTATCCTCGTCCGCCCACACTCCGATCCCTCAGCGTCGTCGGCGGGGCCCCTTCTTGCCTGACTTCCAGCATGCCTGCTTCCCATGGGGCTGACGGTTGCGACTTCTCCGACGAGTCGGACTACGCCGACGATGTGTTTTCAGACCACAGCGACGAAAATACCGACGGGACTGAGGAGACCGACAGCGAGGACAGCGATGACAGTGATGCGGAGATCTCAGAAGAAGACAAGCTTCCTCCTCCCGAACATTATGAGGCCGAGGAGACTACTCTCGATGTCAAACGACTCCGGCAGCGCCGCTTGAGGAAAACCACAGTTGATAACATGGATAGAGTCCGAGACCACTGGCACCGGTGAGTGTGATCTCAAGTGTGGCCCAAACCAACCCGCTAACCGTGGAGAATCTCAGATACTGCGAATACATGAGGAGGAGGGATGTGCTCGACGCCTACCAGACCCTCTCAATCCAATCCCTTAAAGGGTTCCTTAGCTGGGCCTGCGATCAGCGTCGCGGTAAAGGGGGAAGAAGGCGGCCGGGGATCCAAGTCGTCAGCTCCCTGGAAACCTTCTGGAAGCAATTTTCCCAGGTCTATAAACAAGACACGGGCGACAGCATCGACCCTCTGATCATGGCACAAGCACAGGATGTAATGTGGTTCCTACCCTGCTGTCTGATCCTCTCCTGTCTTGATATCTCCGTCTAAAATATTGCGGCAGGTGATCGAGCTCATCGCCGATGAGAAGAAGCTCAGCCGCGAGAAGAGGCCGGGGGAGCCCATGTACGTTGACGACCTGGCGGAGTACCTCCGCGTGCTTCTGGTCACGAACGAGATGGAGTTTCTGGTCGGCTGGCTGCGCGTCGAGCTGATCCTCTTCTGCCAGATCGCGGGCGTCACGGGCAATCGGCCAGATGCCTTGACCCAGCTTCGGTATCGGGATCTGGAGCTCACGCTGGTCCGGGATCCCCATTCCAGCGCACCCCGTCTGTGCGTCGGGCTGACCGCCCACTTCACTAAGACTTTCTTGGGCATGAAGGATGCGTAAGTTTCCCCCCATGCTCCATGGCCGCCTTATTCCTTCACGAGCCGACTAACTCCCGTTCAGGAACACTTTTTGGCTTCCGGAGATCATCTACGACCCAACTCTGGTGCTCAGTCCTCATGTCTTCCTCCTGGGAATGCTGTTCTACATCCAGGCATTCAAGTCACCAGGTATCAGACGCCCCGAGGATCTCTACAGTCTGGGCGTCCTGAATGGACTCAATCAACAGCAACTACCGCTGCGGGATGATCTGGCGGACCTGTTCGTCTTCTGCTCAGCCGTCCGCGAAGGAGGTGGCGTCCGGATTGCGCATGAAATCCGGTTGACCACAGCGTCGGTGCGGACTCGGATGAAAAAGGGCGGCGAGATCACGGGCTTCCAGCAGGTCACGAAGCCTTATGTCCTCCGTGATGCAGCGGCGAAGGGTTTTAACGAGAGCTGTGAGTGTCCATCTGTCCCGTCCTCCCCTTCTCTCTTCGAGAGTGAGCACGCCTGTTGATGATGCTGCCATCGAACAGCGGACGTGAGCGATTCTCTCCAGAACCTGATGCTCCAGCACGCCAGCATCGATACGTTCCTCAAACACTATCTGGACCGAAACATCACCGCTGATGTCCTCAGCATCTACCGTGGCCTCGAGCCGCAGAAGGCGCTGATGAGGATGGTGTGCTCGATGAGCCGCTCCATCGACCCTCGCCGACCGTGGAAGCTTACGCCGGAGCAGTCGAGATCGGTAAATGACCAGCCACCCATCCTGAAGATCGCTCGAAGAGTCGCACACCTGAAGAAGCGCCGTGACTCTACCGCAAGCTGGCTCCGTGGTCGGGTGGGACAGAGGTACCGGCGGAAGGCCGAGAAAGACCGACGATGGGAAGCGAAATACAGGCGCCGGGTTGAGAAGCACGAGAGGCGAGATGAGAGATATCACAAGGCCGTTCGCCGGCTCCGAAACGAGAAACAACGCGCGAGGATCGAGCTCAAGCGTAAGATTCTAGAGCGATACCGGCAGGAACAACCTGTGATCGACAGCGAGCGGCAGCTCTCCGGAAAGGTCGTCGATGAGGACGTGAGAAGTGCACTGGAGCGGTCTGGGTACATGACGCCCGAACAGATGATCATGATCGACGCGGTCCTAACGCTGCCGCCAAAGACCCCAGAGGCGGAACTGCAACGACGGATCACCGCCATCCACGCTGTCAGTGCATACTGCGGTGCTGAGGAGGGGCCGCTCTGCCGTCGACGTGGTCGTGGCTCCAGCCCCAAAACGACCACCGTGAAACCAATGGCTGTCAAGGTGGAAGTGATGGTCCAGCCACCTTCCAACACACTCCTTGAGTCGGCCGTTCGAGCGGTCCGGACGGAACGACGGCCCAAAATATGCTTTCTCTGTTTGCAGAACACCAAACTCTCGCTGGCGGACCGAGTCTATTCATTCCATGAACCGGGGGACCTGACCAAACATTTTCAGAGGCGGCATCTGGAGAAGTTCCAGCCGATGGATTGCGATACCTGCAACGTGAGGCTGAAAACCCTGAAAGATCTTCTGTTCCATGCGGAAACTGCACACGGAACCGTTACACGTTCGCCCAAGTACAGGATGCTCGCAAAATCCGGTGAACCCGGTGCCCCGACTGGCCGTCTGCCACCGAGCTCCCAACCATCTTGGTACCCGCGTGGCAACCAGTGCGAGGAGGTCGATCATCAAGGTGGGAGTTCCATGTGTGCCTGGAAGCCCCCGCTCGTCTCACAGACCATTCGCAATTCCTCACGCCCCCACCTGCCCCTCCGTTTCCCGTTCGCATTTAATCAAGGATAAACTATTACCACTTTTTGGCTTCGGCACAAGCGGTTATATACCGTTTCTTTGCTCCATCTTCGCAGCAATACCCGCTGGTCGGCATTGGCCCATTTAAATATAATTGTTTTTCATTACTAGATATTTTTTATCGTTCAGCTCATTCAAAGATGTATTCAAATTTCTATCTGGCAATACCGTTGCAATTGTAACAACATAAAAATTCCCTGCGCCGCAAGGTCTCATCCAGATTCTAGAGAGGAGATTTTGATGTGCAGGGAAGAGCTAATGTGATATCATCGAAAACTCAACATCACCTTCTAGGATATTGGGTAATTAGTACTTATTCAGTGATAATGGCAATAATGGCAATTGCGATAGCGGTTGGTATCAATCTCAAGCAATAATGACCAGCAACCCGTTGTCGCCTCGGAGTAAAACTCACCGTACCGGGAATAGACAATTTAGGGTTACCAGCAAGATTAGTCAGCATTCTGTTCGCCCACCCATGTAGCTCATCGAAGTATAGGAATTAAAAACCGTCTCTGCCCAAGTGTCAACCCGAGGCTGTTGAATCTGTTGAAATAGAGAGTATGAGTTTGTATTTCTTGTTGATGCTTTCTACACTGGAGGCGGGGCAGTCTATATATATCAATTCCAGCCTCAGCCACAGCCACCGTGATCCTCAGCTACAGCGATATTCAACACTCCCACTTGATGGCAACCGCCACTAAAGGATGCCAGCGACTACTCTCACGGTTGCGACGAACCCCGTTAAAAGCCTTCAAAAAACCTCTGAGGGAAAAAGAAGGAAAAGGTGCAGATATGCAAGCCCACCAACGCGCCAAGAAGCAGCTAAGACGCCCTGCCAGTCATATCAGCGCTGGTGCCTTGCTAGGCTTCAACCATCAAAACGTGGCCCCCGGATGACGTCATAAGTAGAGACCTTCCAGACTCATGACATTGAATGATGGTCAAGAGCCTCATCTCACACACAGGGGCCCCATCGCACAAGAGGTCGAAATACTGAAATCAATTACAAGTCAGAATATATTTTGTAGAATGAGTACACTTCTTATAAGAAAGATTAAATTGAGCTTAAATTTTTTTCTGCTGCACTGAGATATTTGCTACTGTGATGATTAGTCAGACTCAAAGTAATATTCATGAACATTAACTTCTGATTTATACACTCAGCATGTCTATTGCTCAGATATGCATATCAAGAATATTCTGAGAGCTTTCACTTATAAGAGTGAGAAATAGTTTACTTAAGATATCTTTGTATATCTGATGCACCTGTGTTCTGATCAAATCAAAGTCTTCAGCTGTTCTTACACGTATCAGCTGGCAGAGTAACGATTGACCGGCGCCCGTATCAAAAGCAATACACGTACGGCCGATGCAGCGCCAAGGGTTGGTTCCCGCGTCTAAAAGAGGTTTTGGCGGCCAACCTTATTTAAACGTTACTACCACCATCTCCGCCATCGCCATTCTCCATTACAATCTCTAAGCCCATTTCCCCTGGGATCTCCTTGCCTTTTTTCACAACTCTTTGCCATCATCAATGACCTCAGCTACTGTATATTGCATCTGACATTTCACATTCTCTTTGATGAATGCCACCCTTCATGACTTTACTATTCCCGGGGAGCCTTTGAACTCTTAGGTCTGAGTTCTACTTAATACTATATTGTAATAGGAGGTATAGTTATAGTGTTTCCTGCTAATTTGCTCTCAAATTTCTCACCAAATCCATTAGCTCCCCCAGTCGTGCTTCAAGAGAGTTGATGCGATCACCTGTCGGGTCCCTTTGAGGAGTTGTGTAGCGTGTCTCCGGAGGAGTTGTGTAGCTTGTCTCCAGAGGAGGACTTGGATAGAGTCGATTGTTGGCTAGCTGCCTTAGCATGCCTTCAATGTCCCGCAACTTAGATTCTAGGTTATTTAGGCGATTTGTGATGGGCTCCGGGATCTGGCTATTTGGTGGCGCGAAACCGGGTGGTACTGTCGTCTGGGCCGTTCCACTGTTTGGTAAAAAGCCGGGTGGTGGTACTGCTGTACTACCAGCCGCTTCGCCACGGTTTCGTTGCCTTGTCAATGAAGGTGTGAAATCTGGAGGGGAAATTCCGGACGCGTCGTAAAGGCCCCGCAAGAGATTATCAACCCAGACGGAATTATGGTATCGCGCGACGGTGGATTTGGCATACCAGCACTTCTCTGACCGGCTCACGAAAAGCAACTCCAGGTACTGAAAGGGGGCATTTAAGTACCCGCCAGGTGGGGGATAACCGTATCGCCGAATAACTGCTCGGCTTACGATGCGTATGTCTTGTTTAGACGCACTCCTGAGAAGATCAATGCTACCCTCTTGAAATAAGGGAGGCTCGGTTCCTTGTTCTTCCATTGCCGCCTTGAAACCATCCACCGCAGCGTCTCCACCGACGAGATGTGCGGCAACTAATTCGTGGTCAAAATACCCTTCACATGGGGCCGGAGTTTTTAATAGTACCTGATGTCCACTTCCACTCCGCCTATACGACACAACCTGCTTTTCCATGTCGCCATCGTATACCCATCCATTGCGAGGATGTGATCTTGCAGCTGCAGATGGAACTCCAGGAGGATCACCTCCGCCTCCGGGGGGACCACCTCCACCACCTCCTCCTCCAGGGGGACCACCTCCACCACCTCCTCCTCCACCTCTTCCAGGGGCACCATCGCTTCCTCCACCTCCTTCAGGGGGACCACCACCTCCTCCACCTCCACCACCACTTCCAGGGGGACCGCCTCCACCTCCTCCAGGGGGACCACCACCTCCTCCACCTCCTCCTCCAGGGGGACCACCTCCACCACCTCCTCCTCCAGGGGGACCACCACCTCCTCCACCTCTTCCAGGGGCACCATCGCTTCCTCCACCTCCTTCAGGGGGACCACCACCTCCTCCACCTCCTCCACCTCTTCCAGGGGGACCACCTCCACCACCACCACTTGCAGGGGGAACCCGTCCTCCAGCGGGACCATTATCCCCCCCTGTTGAGTGGTCACGTTCCAGCCGGGCACGAAGATCATTAAACACAGGGTGATTGTGAAATGTGCGAATATATTCAGCCATGTGTAGTTGAACTGTCTTTCGATCGTCAGCTGACGTTGTTCGCTCTAGCATTCGTCGGTGAGGTACCCAGAAATTAGCCATGAATGCGTTGGCACCATCAGGTCTGTTTGTGTCAACCTCTTCTAACGCAGTCTGCAAGGCAGTTTCATCGAGGTTGCTAGATATACGATCAAGCACTGTCTTATAGAAATCTTCGGTGCGCCGATCGGCTCCCTGCACTGTTGAAGGAATGGGTTGTCGAACAATATTGTGGTTGTAATCTGAAAAGCTAGCTTCTACTTGAACCAAACGTGACGTGGCTCTCTCTTGAAGAGTAGGATATTCCGTCAGCACGCTTCTCCAGGCATCCAGGTCAAAGTTCGAAACCCCTCGAAGTTCTTCTAGTTCTTCCAATTCCACGTTGAAAATATGCCACAGGTCCGGATGAATATGACACAGCTCACTAAGCAGGCGATCTCGTCTGACATGATTATGGCGACTGCCCGAGGTTTCGGAGGCCATCGAGCCAGGAGTTGATGGTGGCTGTGATCGGGTTTCCGCTGGTTCAGCAAGCGACGGACTGCCAGCCCGTGAATGTGGGGTATCGTATTCAGGCGAGGCCGGTGACCCGGGTTGGTCGAATGGGATCGGAGTGGCCGGAGATGTTGTTCCACTGTTGGTGGATTGGTCCGCTGTGGGGTTACCGGTATTGAATGGGTTCAGAAAGGAAAAGAGCCGTCCAGCGCTCCCCTGCTCGTCACTCCGTTCCGCTAGATGAGTCCTTCTCGCTTCACGGTCAGGATCGTGCGCCCACGGAGTCGGGTGAGCCGCCCGTCCAGCCAAACGCCCACTACGGCGGGGGCGGGAAACCTCAGGGCTCTGTGCGCTGGCAGTATCAATAGGTGGCGGGCGGGACGGTGATGGCATGAATCAGGGTTAATGTTGAAGGGACCAGACCAGCTGGTCGGGGAAAGGAAAGTTTGAAATAACAAAAATATCAAATATCAAGAAATACCTAAGGAGGATATAGACGAGCGCTTGAAGAAGCCAGTCCAGCTGATTTAAGATATTGGGATCTATGAAGAGCTCTGGCCAGCAGAGAATAGCATTGTGATTGGGAAAGAAGAGTGCGAACGAAATATCATGAGGTATTTATTTCCTGTCTTTGTCCTTGCGAACTGTCAAATACCGTGGCCCTGTGGCTACAGCGTCATATTTCGTGGTGACCCCACATTTGCGACTCACATTCCGTGGCCCTGACCTGGTTAATAGGCACAAAAGTGTATTATTGTGTCTTGGTGATGAATTGACACCTGTCGGCCGTGTTGATCCGAAGACTTTCCTTACTCTCGGAAAAATGTACAGTACATGTACGGTACATGCCTAGATCGCGGGTCAGCCCTAGATAGAGTTGCGGCCCTTCTGCTTGCTCACAAGGTGCCCATAGATATGCAGTATTAAAATTATTTCATACGGTGTTATCGTAGCAAAACCCGATGTGATCGTTTGTAATGTCGAGTTCATATAAGCATGCCTTAGAAATGGAAGAACTTCAGCGGGAAGATAGAATGGGTTGAACAATTCAAAGCAAACATAAAACTGGTGTACTCGTTGATAAATTTTAATTTCATCCATGTTTATCGATCAAGAGGACTCCGCAATGAAGCAAGAGTAGATATACCAGGTTTACAGTGATGATGGATTCAATAAAAAGTTTCAAAGAGGAAAAAAATTCAAAAAGAATAAGCGAAGTACATCAAGATGATCAATAAACAAGAAAAAAGGGGTACCTCTACAAGCAAACAACAGCCCTAACCATTCTCAAACTCTGTGCCCTTCACATAGCATGCATACAAAACGTAGGGACAACAATGGACAGAAAAGTAACCAAAGAAACGGTGTGCTTGTCGCCAAGAGATGTAAACTCAGGCTGTACAACTGAACGTAAAGAAATCCCCGTCCCGGTTGGCCCTGCCCCGCCGGTAGCAGTCACCCAATTTGCGCCAGAGGAACTTAAAGTGTCAGAGGAATTTAAATGGTTGATGCAGCGAGTAGCCGACGGCTCAAGAGGCAGCCTCATAGTACCAGATGAGAGTGAGCCGGTTATCAGAGACGGAGCGGTGGTGACTGTCGCGCTTCCGCCCAAAGCGCGCGCGTTAGCCAAGAACTGGCTCATACGATCTCCAGGATTCAGAGCGAACACCATGCCTGCATGGCAGTGAGAGTAAGGGTTAATCTGCCGACAAAAGAACCACCGCGGTTCGAGAGAGTTGACGGTAATTGTTAGGATAAGGTCGTTGCGGTCGGTCGGGTTAAGCTGATTGAACCCAGATTCCAGTTGCTGCGAGGATATGCACGGCCACTCCAAACTTGACTGGCTCAATGTATGGTTCAGCTTGTGAAATTCGAAGGTCACCAGATCCCCAACGTCGGCGTTAACATAACCAGGTTGAAAGGCAAACTTGTCCCCGTCACCGACTTTCACCCGATGCACGACCTGGCGCTGAGGATGAAAGGTAACTGTTTGATCAATTCTATCGAATGTCAGTTGCATTCAATGTTCTGGAGGTGGGCAATATAACTAACTCAATATCCAGCGCCGCCGGATGGAGGAGGTACAGAGAAAGCAGAAAAACGAACGCCAGCATTCGTGCCATGATATCTTCATAAAAACAGCTAGGGGTGGTAGGTAGTGAGTACGGTAAAAATAAGATAAAAGACGAGATCGTACTTGGCTTTATATTCCCTTCTGAAGCAAGGCCGATTTCCATGGCGTGGTCACGGTTCACAAAAGTCGTGGCTCCTTTCTGATACTGCAAAACGACCCCTGGTGTGCACTACCATTTGTCTAGGGTAAGTGATCTGTTGTTAGGAACTTTCTTTTCAATAGCCATGCTACAGATGACCTCGGTTTAAACGCACAAGGTTCAATTGGTTGGCAGCAAATCGTACTGATTAAATTAAAAACTATCAAAGGGTTGGTAGCTAGCTACAGGATATCCACCTCGGTTACGCGACCCCTTGCCTGGCCCTGGCATTCGGTGCCCAAAATCCTCCTCTGGCTGAATTTGGTTGAAAATCTAGCTGGTGAAAGTCAATCCGGCCCTTGGAGTGAAGGGCGATGTTACGAAGCTCATCTAGAACAGCGGGCGAGGCGCAGGCTATAGAGAACGTGAGAAAATGATACATCAAGGGGCTAATATAGACTTACCCGTCACGAGCATCTTATCTGACCACTCTTCGAGCTCTCGATCTAGTATTTTCTTTACATCCAGTTCTTCTTTATAGTGTACATCAATGCGGCGCCCGGGGCGTTCGTTACGAACGGACTGATCCGAACAGTCCAAGATGTAAAGCGAAATATGAAGAATCTAAAGCAGGTAAGCACGGGTAGATGATATCAATGCAATACGATCTCTTCTCCTACCAAAGTCGTATCATCATCGGCAAGCAACTGGTCCATCCAGTCACATATCCAGTTCATGTGCTCTAGATAACCATCAATGCTTAGCAGGGTCTATTTCAAAGGTCAACGAAATTTGCTCACCTTCTTTGTCCAACTGCCACACCAGCGAGATACGGTGGCGGCGAACCCCCCCTCCCCGGGTGTGCATCGCCTTCTCTTCGCTGACGAAGCGTTGGAGTAGTTCCCGGATGAAGGGAAGCTGGCCTACGATGCCAATACCAGTCGCGACGAGAGCTACCGCATCGTACGGGAACCCTGTGCTCAACGGCTGCCAGCGGTCAAGGTCTTTCCCACCATATGGTCCATCCACGATGATGCGAAGTCGTCGGTGCCGGGTTAGCCAGAGCTTTCTTGTGAAACCAGAATCGACCTCAATGAGGACGGAGACTGACGCTGCCCTCCCATCAGGTGAAGTTTCCCACCAGGCGAGCTCAAAACGCTGGGCCGGCCAGCACCTTACCGCAGGCACGTACAGGTAGATATGTTGACCGGGGCGGGGCTTCCACGGCCGCGAGGGACAAAATGTCAACTCGACTGCATCCGTCCGCGGCGCCACTTCTGCGATGGGAAAGGGCGGGTGTCGCGCCAAGAGATTGCGAAACAACACCTTTGCCACATTTAGCGCGGATATACAGCCAAACATAGATACGGCGACTATAAAGCAGATGGCATGTAGAGTACGCGGTCGCTTTAGATGCAGCCAGACCAGCACCATAGCTAGAGTACCCACGAAGAAATGTGATCTGACGAATAGATATGACAAGGAACGAACAAAACGTTGTGAGAACAGGAGGAGGAGTATAAGAACCCCACCGGCCTAATTCCAGAAGTCAGTATCTATCTTGCGCGGGAATACAAGGTACTTGCCACAGATCCGTAACGAAGGAAGCGGTCTCGGAAGTCAAAGAGCTCCGTCTGCGGCAGTAGAAGCCCGACATGAATGGCCGACTGTATGACAGCCATCAGAGCGAGCGCTCGGTGAGCAATGTGGAACTCCGTGAGCGTGACCCCGAGCCAGTCAGCTACCTGGCTGGACTGGCTGGCAAGAAGAAGCGGGGAGAGGTGGAGGACGGCAAGAGATCCTGCCCTCGCGCTAGCATCCTGATTGTCCCTGACGCCGGTAATATTGCAGGCAACAGTGCCGCTCACGTGCAAAAGATGGATAAATGCCCGAGAGAAGGTGACAGGACCAAAAAGACGTCGGCGTGGAATAAGATATGGCCAGGGGTGATTCTGGAGACACAATCGCATCATCTGTGGACTGAAGATGTACGACGCGCCACGCAGAAGGAGACGATGAAGACGGAAAAGGACGACGAAACCTGCCGCCGACAAGGCATATACGGTTAGAAGATCCATGGTGCTGGAGATGATACTCAGATGTGTGTCTTCTCCGCGATACGAACGGGAGATATGCGGTATATGAGCGCTGGAGGCCACGGATTGATCTCTCTTTTCCAAATTCGTGGCCCTTCCCCTCGCCTTAGTGTTTCTAAACGGTCCATCCGTGGCCGTTTCATCGCTTCGGCTGCCTTTGCGGCGCCTGGCGTTTCAGGATTGATAAAGAAATGACGCGGGCGCTTAACGACACAGCATGGAGCCAAATATAGCTCACGGCCTCTAGCTTGGTTCATACGTAGTTGGAAGCAATAAAAGCCGGTCTCTTATAATTTTCAGCGTCACCATCTTCAACTTGGAGTCTCCGATATCATCGACCTCAATTCCGCCACTAAGAAAATCAAAGAATAGTATGACCGGCTCATTACGCAGAGGGAGGCGGCGCGTCGGTGTCAACAGAAGTCGCACAGAGCGAAGAAGGGATACAAGGGCAGACCGCGAGCGATATCGGCGTGGTAAACGAGGAGTTTGTCAACGGGCCAACGACGTGTACGTAGATGGCATAGACAGTGGGCGTGACCGGTACGTCTATGTCTGCATCGTCGAGAAGCGAGAGAAGGCGCCGGATAACTATTGCATCTACAACTCCCACCCAACGAGTACATGGTTTCCGCCCAAGGAAGAAGATGTAGTAAGTGTTTCAGCGGCCCAACATTGTCTGCGTCTTCTGACTGTCGATTGAAGAAGGAGGGGCTCATCGAGCAGTATGGACCAAAGGACTTTCTCCCGAACAACCCTGAACCCGCCGAGGAAAGAAGGCGCGAATCCGGACGCTGTGACTTCAAAATCTCGCCACCTCCACCGCTTGTACTCTCCACGAGCATATGTGCCAGCTCCCCACGGCGCGGTAAATGGCTCCTTTCGCCTCCCTGGATGAGTCAATGGGAGCAAATTCTTGAGGGCCGAACGATCCAGCGGCAGAACCACGATGATGCCACGCGTGTTCCAAACACGTGACTCCAGAGCGTGAGGCGCGGGATAGATTTGATTAGTTATATTATCTTCTCTACTGTATCGTGCAGAACCAAAATCAAATTCATGATTCGCTACTCTAAGAAAGCTACGCGTGTATTGTATCTACAGAAGAGCTTGATGAAACGTGACTTATGTGTTCAATCATGATTTCATTCGTAGTAACTGAGTAACAGGGGATCAAGGATGTCCAGCACCCATAAAGGCTGCTACCCACTCAGGACGGATCTCCACACTCTTTGGCGCCGACTCTCGCGCAGCTCGGATAAACAGTCTGAGGCATTTGGGGCCTGGCGACCGCTGGACGAAACCATGCTATACAGCGTCAGCTACTGCTGAATATTGGGATTCTCACAAATTACCTGGAGCAGCTCCGCTACTGATCTCGTCTTAGTGAGCATCTGGAACTCACTCATGGCAGCCTCCCATCTGCCAGGGGTCAAGGCATCAGCGCCGCGGAGAGCATTGGGTGCCTCCAAGCACCGAACAATAATTTGGCCCAGAGCACGGATATCATCCTGGGCCACTTTGAGGGCTGCATGGGTAAGCATGGTAGCACCGATGTTTCCTGGATAACCGTCAGTTAACTGCATTTTAGCGTAGGTTGAATTGCTGTCCAATACCGATCTTAACAGCCACTGGGTTGACGGAGAGAAGAACATTTTCCGCGCAGAGCTCTCCCGCCACAAGTTGCTGAGCGTGAAGAAAATCCAATCCGTTCAAGATTTCTTTGCAGAACGCTGCGACCTGGTAGGGCCGCAGGATCCCATAGGGTGTACTGAATATATCAGCAAGTGACACATCCATAACTTCATAGAAGAGGAAAATTGCCCCTTCGTGATAGAGCGCTTCACACAGCTTAACGATATTCTTATGTGCAATCGGCTTCAGCTTGGACAGCCATTCCTGATTATCAACCTCGGCTCGCTTGGCAATCATCTCGTCGAAAGAATCGTTTTTGGCATTAACTAGGATTCCCGGACCAGCCTGATCCAGGTTAAAGCCTTGTTGATACTGATCCCAAGGGTTCGCCACCTCCTTCAGCAGCTGTGGACGATGCGTTGGTTTTCCAGCGGGGAGGTTGACTTGCGTGCCGACGGGCAGCATGCGTCGGAGCTTTGGACCACGGGGAGCATTCGAGAGGGGGATGACCCGTTTGGTGATTCGGTGGGATGGGACTGGCCCGCTTCGAGGGAACATGGTCCCCGGTCGGCGCACCACTTGTTCCGACGTGGCTTCAATCATGTTGTTTGGAGCGGTTCGCCGCTCAGAAACGTGAAGGAGGGTTGCTATATATGTTTAAATAATCTGTGGCCTTGACGACTCAAAAGCGTGACCCCCCCCCTCTCTTCTCCTCCCATTACCCACTTTCGCCCTCCATCCTTCTTTATGGGCGCCAAAACTCCGAGCTGGTCAGAAATAGTGAACTATGTTGAACATTTCAACGGAGCAAGCAGCAGACCAACAATCCACCCTATCGGAAGATGGCCTCACCAACTTTAAGTGACCTTGACCTCGCAAAGGAGAAAGACAGGTGCCTCCTTGGATGCGCCAAAGTTGAATTGAAGCACTTGGTATTCGAAGAAACGGGAGGAATTGGGACCCGGCATGTGACAAAGGCAAACGTAAACTGGTTAATACGAAAGTTCGAGGTGGACAAATGCCGCCGTCTCGAGCCACAGCACTGGATCCCTGCCGTAGTCACCCGTAATGGCCTCCAGGTGATACTTAACGCGAACTCCCTATCCTCGATTGGCGGCGATGACCCTGGAGACTTCCCATTGAGCCTGCCCTCTGGGCATGAGGTAACGTGCCTGCAGGGCCGGATACGCCACGCTGCGGGAACTAAGTGGTTGGAAACTGATGATCAATGGTGGATTTTGAAACTCTACGACTCTCGGCTATCCTCCGAAGCTCGAAGAAGCCTGCGGGAGGACAGAGACGCGTCTCAGGAATTCTCCAGTGGGGAGATATACTGGAATGTGCGGCACCATGAGAGACAGGGTAATGATGATGAGAGACGGAAGTGGTTGGCGAGGTGGCCCTCGCCATATATGGAACGAGACTTCACCCAGCTACGTGAGAGCATATATTCGCGACCCCTCTATGAGGCCCTGGACAGGCTTCTTGAGTTTCGCGCTCTCTGGCCCGCCTTTCACGTGGGCAACTTGCATCGACTGCTACCCATGCGCTGTCCGGAGGTAGGATACGGCTCTGGCCTGACTAGAATGGCGCTGACATCATCTAGGCTTTGGCAAGCTATCTCGACTTCATCCGAGACGTGTGGATGTGGATAACGGACAGCAGGCCGTGGCGGCTGGAGGAGACTGATGTTGAGCATCTGGAGGGGCGTTCCCCAATGTGGTCAAAGGCTGATGGGATCTACATTGATGAGGTATTCAAGGACGGCACTGTATTTTGCCGTATAATCAATCAGGACGAGCGAGAGGTACTTCGTCAAAGGGTAAGGCAGTGCTCGACCATTATCCCGTCTATCCGAACGTTCCTCGAGGATTCTAAGTATCTGGAGCCGATGGCTAAGCTTGTGAGAATGCTGCTCCCCCCTGACTTCAAGGGAACCGTGCAAGAGGGGATGAGGCGTTGCTATCAGCCAAGTGCCAATGGCGTACTTCACATCCAGACATCGGCGGCCGGACATCGCACGGCGCCTCGTGACGCGGATGATGACGGATTCTGGTCAGCTTACAGACAGGTGTGGCTGGGAGCAATGCGTGATTGGTTTGGCATTGTTCCCGGCTTCCGCCCTCGGAAAATGACGAAGGTTCCTGGAACCGTAGCGCAGCCGCATCCTTCAATTCTGTGGAGTCGGTTCGTAGATCTAGCAGTCTCTGTTGGCTTCAATATCTCTAAACGGCCGGACTTTTCTGAGTCGCCCGAGGATATCATCCGTCAGTGTCTGTCGCTGCTCAGACCTGCCGATCTGTTCGAGCAGGATCCCGACCTCCTGTCCGCTGAGAGTCGCCGTGTTGCCGAAAACCTGGGCTTCAGACGTCGCCCTGCCGAGATTGCGCGTCCTGCCCGTCCTTCATTAACGACGGACCTTGGAGCGTGGTCAATCACCGCCCGCTGCGGGATGACCGATGGGGCATCCTTCTTTTCCGACCAGAAGTATCTGTTCCTTGACAACATTTATGCTCGGCTTGATGATGTGCCCGGCGTCCATCTGACCTCCTTTGCGGTCAAGCGGGACTTCTTCCTTGCACACTTTCCTCCTGCCGTCGATTTGATAAGGCAGCCATGCTCGAGCTGGTCTTCCCCAGCAACGATGCTTGCATGTCCGGCAAATGGACCTACCTGTGCCAACATATTTCCGTCTCAGGCGCATTCACCGGCCCTTCCCTTCAGCGACATGGCGAATGAGGGCGAAGCTCCCCTTCTGACAGCTAGTGAGAACCGGGATGTTCGACCTTCATCGCGGGGATTCCTATCTCTCGCGCATTCATCTTACAGCCTTGTAAGCCCTAGCGAGAATGGCGAGACTAACCCAGCACAGACAAATGCTCAACCTACTGCCCTCCCTCTCGTAATCGATATGCATCGCGCGGTGCCGCGTACCGTCATACCAACTTTCCTTACGACACAAGACCCTCGATGGTGCAGAGCGCGGGTTGTTATTTCTCCGGGGAAATTTGTTGCATACCTGCAGACAGTGCAGCCCTCTGTCCCGCGGTATGGTGTTATCTTTGACTTGTCAACATCACACATTACTTGCATTCTCTCATCCCACGCCGAGTGCTATCTTGACACGTTCGACGGGACAAATCTTTGGTTTGCTAGGCTACTCCCGCAGAGTTTTCACCTGTCCATTATTCCAATGACAGCAGTTTACTGTGCGATTCGAAATACGCAGGCTATATTTATGGGATCTGCAGGAAAAGTTGGGTTCTATCAAGATATACTTCATCCAGATATTGCTGCACCTGTCGACTTCACACTACAACTACCACATTTTGATCCCGTGGGGGAACATTGGGAGATAAAAAGCGAATGAATTGATGCTAATTCTAGCCTTAACCACTATCATACCTTCGTCGACGCTTCATGGAATATAGGTTAAATCACAAGAAACAGTGCCGAAATTCCAACAAGGCAGTATCCGTTTAGTTCATCGGTTCTCTATACCGTTCTTCAAGCTCCAACTTGGCCCGAAGAATAACATCGGTAACCCAGCAGGCTACCTCCCTCAGCTCGCACTGAGTGTGCTCCTCAAGCTGCATTATATCGACCACGCTACGCCGTACGCGTTCCAACTCCGCAGCAGTTTTTCGATGACGTTCTTGCTCCTTTTCAAAGGCTTGGTTCAATTTTGCGTTGGCTTCCGTGGCCTCGACGAGGAATTTTCTTTCCATTCTAAGTTCGTCACGGGTGATGGAATGTGCTATGTACTCGCGTTGTAACAGCTGGTTGTAATCTCGATCCATTGCCACAGATGCTTCAATCTGCTTTTGAAGCCGGTCGCTCTCTTTTTTTAACCCCTCAATCAGAACGCTATCCTGCCGATGTACAATCGCCCAGTTGAGATCGCGATGAACTCGTGCCATCTGCGCGTAAAGATAAACATTGAATGCGGCTGGTGGAGTGCCCAGTAATTGCGTCTATTCTGTTAGAAAGACCACGCAGTTGGGGTATTATTTTTCTTACCTCATTGTTTGAATGCCCACTCGAGGGCACGTCCATGTTCTTCAGCAATATCAGACTGCAACTTCACAAAAATTAATCAGGAGAACTAAATTTCCAGAAGACGTCATGGCATAAAGTGAGCATTCAATTACTTTTATACTATGTATATTCAGCACCCATTTTTTCTGAATCCGCTGTGAGCGAATTAAAAGCGACGGTATAGTTTCATGATGCGGTTGTAAGTATGCATCTCTCACTAGCATGTGGGGCTCTATACCTAATGGAGACTAAGTTATTTATGATGGGGAGCCATTATCAGTGAGTAGTACCCACCTGCAAGACTGAAAGCACAGGGAATGAGGGCTCATCTGATGTTGCAGAGCATGATCCTCAGCAAATTGCGGTTACAGGTAGCAAGAAGTAACCGTGCGAGCAACAGTTGAGGAGTTTACTGATGAATATTGACAAATGGATAGGTAGAGCATTAGATATGAATGTGTTCGCTACTCTCGAACATTGAATTTAAAATACATGCCTTCACCACTCCTGGGTTTTCCGTGACCGCCCAGCAGAGACAGGTAGGAATAACTTTGTTGTCTTCAACAAATGCAAACGAACGTTGTGGAATCCCGTGGATATTTCCCTCCCGAGACCACCTCCCACTGTTAAAATGGCCATGCCCGCATAGCCATATGGAGTCGAAAGAGAATACGAAATCGTAGCACCTCGTCCTTGCCAGTGGTCTGTTTCCCTGGGACCACCCTCTCTTTCAACTTTCTAGATGTAAGTCTGGTTTTCCGCTCCGCTCAAATCCTCTTCAATTTTCGGGAGAATGTTCCGAGCCAATCTCTCTGGAATCCGACTTTTTGCGCGTGGCAATGAGGAGGTTGATCGCATCACCGAGTCGCTGGGGCCGCCTAAAGTGTATCAGATATTTTGTTTTCAAGAGTCAATCAGAAATAGACTTCTGCCAGCCTGACCTCTGACCACCTCCGCCGAACTTGGTTGTCGAATGTGCAAGGTCACAGGATACCGGGGGATTTTTGCCTCCTGTCGTTTAGGTCCTGTACGCCCACTGCGCGTGCAGTGAGGTGTCGGGTTCGATATCGAGTCACCGATTTCAAACAACTGACTTTCATGTTTATTGGGTAGTTTCTTTTTTTTAATGAAAATCACTACAGCTGCACAGGTTATGAACAACCAGACCCCAATGCAAATCCCCACTATTCCGCCCCTGCCGATGCGAGATTCGGACGCTGCCTGAACGTGCCGCATTTTAGAGGTATAATAATTAGAAAAAAGGGAAAGGGCCAATACTGAATCCAGCATTGCTTGAGGAGAACGGACCTGCTACTTATAGTTCACATTGCCGAATCCGTGGCTCCGCCATCCTTAATCGCAGGGCCACGCTCTTATATCACGCTGACTAAATCAGGAGAATTTAGCGATCCATGTAATTATACAATCTTGAGACATATCCTGAAATAAGTCCCAGTCAAGCGGAGTGCGGCCAAGTGAAATTTTTGTTGACATCCTGGAGAAAGCGACCATGATATATAGACTACCATTATTCAGCGATCGAGCACCGTGTGCCGATTTTGCCGTTTTTTGACGCCACTTGCAATCACACCTGAGGGTTAAAAGAGGAGTATTGCTTGGAAGTCTCAAATTTGAAAGGTACATTTTAATGCTCCACCTTTAGCTATCTATGATATCTATCTACATTGTAACAGTTGGTTCCTTCACACGAGCTTCCCCACCACCTACCCCATACTCGCAGATGGCTTCCCCACCCCGTTTCAGTGCCGCAAAAAGAAATGAGATCCAGAAATGTGGAAATAAAGAATTATTTATCATTTAATTGCTTAAATAAACACCCGCAACATGTTTTGGATAAGTCTTCGATGTCTCATAAATCGGGACCGGGTAGTGATGCGCCTGCTTACACTGTAGATCAGCAAATGCACTGAGCTAAACTTAGATTTGGGAGTCGCACTAGTTCCCCAGCAGATGGAGGCGGACTGCCATTCGTGTATAAGGTAAAGTGTTGGCTGTTCACAAAAATGATGACATAGACATGGGCACTGCATTTATCACTGTACTCCACACTCTTTCTGAATAGAGTCTCTCGCCGTCCGCGCTTTCTTTTAGATGATGTTTGATAATCTTTATATTTTTTATATACTGTATGAGGATAGTGCTTTTTCTGCTTATAGTTAGTTGAGAAAGAAACAACTTGACTGAAATTAGGGCTCTTACTATCTGCTCTTCTGAAGGTGGCCAAGTCTCACTTGAATCGGTATTCAAGATGAAAAATTGACCGTGGATGTCTATAAGGATATAAACCTGTGCCTCGTTCTGCTCAGCATATTTCACAGCCTTGTGAAAGAGACATAGTCTCCGTCGGCGTCTGCTCTGTTGAATATTGGATTGATTCTGCTGTGACTGTGATCGTTTCCGTCGTCGGCTGGTGTCCCTCGCGTGTATTATGCTGTCTTCGCAAGAGAAGAAACTCTGGGGTTCACCGTTTCTCTGGAATGGACCCAATTGATTGTTTTCAGGGGCCTGCTGCGGCTGTCCCATCTTCAAAAGACGGTGATATTCCTTAGGGTCTGTGTACGAAGTGGAATGACGTGGTACGAACAAGGAGGTTGGGAGAAAGGACACGGAGATGTATGTCAAGCCAAATGAGGTCCCTGAGTACCTCGCGCGTGTATAAATCTTTTACACTTTGGGAGGGGACAGAAAACTGTTCCAAATGACTTCTCAGAAATAGAGTCATGCTCAGGGCCACGATTACGTTCCTTAGAATCGTGGCCCCATGGAATACCCGCTCTCCTCGACCCACCAGTTCCCTCCCCAGTGTTAGTCGTGGAAGATTTGGCACTTATTTCGACGCAAGCGGGTTGACTGAGGAGAATTAGCAACCGGGAAGCCTTTGGCTGTTGGGCGCTGTGTCCTACCGCGGTCAGCCTGGCCTGGCCACGGAATAAAGTAGCAAGACTTCGAACAAGTGGCCAAGGTATAAATAACCCTTTCTCATGCCAGAACCATTTCTGCCCGCTTCATTTCCTAACAACGCTACGATGTCGTCCAATCATGTCTCGCTGGCACGGATCTCCGAAAGGTCGAGTATATTTCTTATAACCGATGTGCGCGCCTCCGAGCTCTCCGAGGAGGATATAGACAGAGCATTTCCACCCACTCCCCCACGAAGAGTAAACTGCCGTCCTTGCTACCACTGTGGGGAACGAATATCTATCGACCAACGCTTTATACGGTGTGGTCATGCTATGCACCAGCATTGTATTGCCACTGGCGGTCTTGACAACGGATGCCCAGAATGCCGTGAACAGCTCAGAGGTTTTGAGAGCCAGCCAGTTCAAAACTGCGAGATTTGCCACTTCCAAAAGGAGATGATTCTCCTACCTTGCTCCCATACAATATGTGAACAGTGCATTACCGACGGAGCTTTGGTGAATGGATGCCCCTATTGCAGGCGTCGTATCTCGACATACGGGGAATGGCGGGCACCTGCCCCTCTGGAAGCAACTGCTGCCTGGTGGTCGAATTTTTCTCCCCGAGACGAGACGGAAAACAATACAATTCAACTACTTTTCTCCGAGCTATTCCATATTAATTCAGATCTCTTTATTTTTTTTGGCCAAGAACTAGCCACTCTTAGGAGATATCTACTTCGGAGATATTTACATGGGGAGGTATTTGATGAATGGATTCAGCAACTGCACGACAGCGACGTTTCAGAGAGAGAAAATTTTCGTCAGCGTATAGAGTCAATCACCAATATTCGTATTCTCCCTCATATACCACGAAAGGATGATAGTCAGGATGCTGACGTCGTTAGATATCTGTCATCCTTCATGAATCTCGAGCCGGACTCAGACGATAGAATGACATATCTTCGCTTATTCGCAAGCTATGCTGCTGGCTCCGGCTTCAACCCTTGCTTTTGGTTGCCTCACCACAGAATGTACTTGAGAGCCACAAGCCCTCGTCAGCGGCGACTCGTTCACTTGCATATGGTCAGATATATTCGCGAATATCACGACCGTTCTGATATGGTGGACCTCTCCTTTGAGCTAGTGCCGCTAATAGCATCGGATGAAGAAATAGATCGCCTCCTTAGTGAACTGTATCATATCCACCCCGAACTATGGTGTCTATTTGAACCGGAGTTGCAGCGACTGGAAGAAATCGAACTCGATTCGACCTTTGACCTAAATGGATGGCTTGATGACCTACGTCGTTACCCCACCATTGAGGAGAGGAATGAGCCATCACAACTTTACAGCTTCTTCCGCTACCTCGACACGCAAGGACAGGCTCAGCAGTTTCGGGACAATCAGACATTCTACCTAGGTGTTTACAACGCCCTTGGCCATGAACTAGATGATGATACTGTAAATGTTCGTTTACAGGATGCCAATCGAACCCTGCAGGGTGGAAATCAGTTCCATCCCAACTTCTGGTTGCCACATCGACGCATGTTTCAGCGAGCTACCTCAGATGCTGACCGATGCCGAGTCATCTCACACATGATATCATATGTTAAAATGTATCACGGTGGGAATCAGCTTATGTCCGCCCTCCAGCGTTCATATGAACAACAATATGGCACTGTTTCAAGGGGTGGACGCGAGAACAACCTCACCGCCTCATACCCACGGGAAGAATGGGTTTCAGATGAAACGGAAATAGCAGGCTACAGAGAGTATGGTTCAGGATACCAGGTTCTTTTAAAAACTCATGCCCCCCGTGGAGGATTCTTTGATTACGAACTAGTTCCCGCTCATCGCTGTGGCGGGTTAGCAGCAATCATGAGTTATACAAGGAGAATGGAGGAGCAGGGAATGGCGCCTTTTCATTTTGAGGAAGCAAGCATTGATCGTCTTAGAAGCAAGTCAAAGGATCAGATACGCATTGCAGGTCGATGCGTCCATCATCGAAAGCAAAGAAGGGCACGCGGTACGGTACTTCAACAATATCTAATGTTAACCTTCGCCAATGAAGAGGGTGTGTATTGGTACAGTAAAGGCATTGTGGAACATTATCATAACCGTGTATGGGTTGAAAATAGCCTCCTGCCTGGACTGTACGATGCATCCGGACTGACACCCCCTGAAGACATCCGTCAATTGAATTACCAACCCCAGACGTCATACACCGAGGAAACGATCCAGAAAATAAGCGATCTTAAAGCACGAACGGTCTCTATAGACAGTATACTTAGGGGGTTTTTTCTTCGGCCGTGATATTAGTGAGAAATGCTAGACACGTTTATCTCGTCAGAAAACGATGAGACAAAGCACCGTGACATTTCGCCTCTTTTTACTTATTAAGCTAGTGATTCATTATTATATTTGTTATCGACTATGGCTATAGAAACACTAGGTATCAGGATGCGTCTCGTAGTAGATTGAATATGCTGCCTCCTTTCTTCTTCTTTTCTTTTTACTTTTGTTGAGCTCTGTTGATTGTAATTAGACTTATATGGTCACGTGGACGTATAGTTAAACAAGACGTATTCTATCCGTTCCTATAATAATTAGCCAGGCTGGGTCTTGTATATGGTCAGTGACCTTCGAAATGCACAGCAGAACCATAACCTTCAGATAATTTTTATTTTACTGAAAGGCCAATGAATTGTTTACACCTATAGCAGTTAAATTTCATTTAGATATCAAGACAATTGATATTTGAGAAATCCCATATTACTAACTGAGCTGATACCTACTGATGTCAATGATGGCAATGTAGCACGAAGATGGAACAAAGAGAAATAATGAGAAATGGCACAGATGTATAAGGCATCAAAAAACTAAAATGTCATGGCCTGGTTATACTGAATGTTGGGGGAACATCCCCTATTTGGAATACCATGGCCTGGCCATGGAATGTCATTCCTGAGGGAAAGCCCCTCTATCCTCTAGAATGGTCATGGCCATGCTGAATATGGTCATCATGAATGTTGAGGGAAACCCCTATTGTCCCCTATTCTCTAGAATCATGCTGCTGGCCCCTATTGTCTATATTTCCCCTGTTCTCTAGAATGCCATGGCCTGTCAATCCCCTATTCTCTAGAATGCCATGGCCTGACCTGCTCTCTATATTTCCCCTATTCTCTAGAATGCCATGGCCTGATCAATCCCCTATTCTCTAGAATGTCATGGCCTGACCTCTCTATATTTCCCCTATTCTCTAGAATGCCATGGCCTGTCAATCCCCTATTCTCTAGAATGCCATGGCCTGTCAATCCCCTATTCTCTAGAATGCCATGGCCTGACCATGCTGCTGGCCCCTATATTCCCCTATTCTCTAGGATACCATGGCCTGATCACTTATTCTCGAATGGCCTGACCATGCTGTTGGATGCCCTCTTATTGTATATTTTCCTATTCTCTATTCTCTATATTTCCCCTATTCTCTAGAATGTCATGGCCTGAATGTTGAAGGGAATATCCCCTATTCTCTAAAAATGCCATGGCCTGGTCATGAATCATTTCTGGGGGAAATATCTTCGATTCTCTAGCATTGGTCTCATGGCCTTGTCTTAGGGGAAATACACATTGTAAATATCAAATATTTGTGTTATTTCCGTGCAGTTCTCCAGGAGCATGATAAGACCTTAAATTAGACACAACAGAATCCTTGGAGTGAGAGATAAGATGCCTGGAATGATGCATTCGGCTACCAAGGCTTCTGGGTTGGGCGACTGACTTAATTCTTTGAAAGATTTCATGCTTTCTAGCGTCTTTGCATGGGGAACTATCTCGGTTTAAGTTTTTTATGTTCGTATGGAAACACTGAAGTTAATGCCTTGCGAGTGAACTCGTTGGCAAGACCATACTTTTAAACCCTACTGTCGTGGCCTGGCCACGCTTCTTTTGCGGGTCCGACCTAGGATCAGGTATAAAAATTCATTACCACCGCACTGGGGCGACCTCCCTAGAGGAAGTCCAGAAATGAACGAAATATGTCGCTGTGCGATCACGTCTCTTGGGTAGGGTTCGTAGAGGGAGAGGCTGGACCTCACCTGTCATACGACTGGCGTCTTGCTCGTGTTATCGGAGAGCTTCACAAACCTTATGAGCAGTATCCTCACGTGATCTTCTTCATGGGAACGAAGCATAAAGATGCGGCTCTGCGGCAGCTTTGCAAGGGAAATTACCGCCGCACCAATAACCGAGGCGCCATCAACCTTCGGGCAGACAGTAATTCCCTAGGATCCACATATCCCCGTCTGTATGCCGATTGCGACCCTGGCCGATGTACGCTCCATCCCGCTTTTAACACCCCACAGACCTGTCACCGTCAAGAAATTTTCCCGGTCAGATGGCCGACGTCACCCACAGAGCCTTACGATCTTGTCATTGCACGCCTCCTCTTTCTGTTTACCGATGTCATCTGCATCTTCGCGGAGGATGTAGGCGGCTTGGAGGCGACGAGAACCCTCTTGCTGAAATGGGCAGCCATCGGATCGGCGTCAACACTACCTCCACGTGTCCGTCCTCGGATTATCGTTGTCACCGGAGGGGAAAGGAGTAAGAGCATGACTGAGCTGATGCTGGCTGAAGATGACTTTTTGTTCCAGATGTTTGACTTCGGCAGTGCTCCCCTCTTCTCGTCCTTTTCAAACATCGGCATTTCACGTCTGCCATCCATGGAGCTCTCAGCCGACGCCCGCTACCTGCAATTGTGGGCGGACATCAACACGGAACTGAGGGAGACTCGGCAGGCTCGGCTCACCGACCGCGCACGGTTTTCGGCAGTGCACCTTAACGCATTTTTTGAAGATGCGTTGCTGCGGCATTTCACGACTGATGCTCTGGCTCCGTTTAGTTTCATTCTTTGGTCAAGGCGGAGCAATCCGATCAGCGGTTCGTTGGTCTCACACCTTTCCAACTTTTTTACGGAAGGGTGTCGGATACATGCACCCTATGACGCCCTGGCATCGTACGTAGCCTCAGCAATTCTAATGGATGCGTACCCACCCTCCATGCATGGTATGTCTCCCCTCGTATCTTAATGGCCCGTGCTTACTCTGTTCAGTATTTTGTCCGCGCTTTGTCTTTAAGACCTTGTACCGAACGGCTGTTCATCGTGCACTAAGTGCAGCATATTCCGACACATTTGCGGAACGGCAATGCCAGAACATCGAGGATCACATGTCCTTGTTGTTTGATTCCATGGTATCTAACGCTCAGCCATCAGCTCGGATCCATCGATACAATCTGAAGCACGATAAGAGATTGTGGCGACAGTTGGAATCGAGCTCCTGTTCCACCTGCTTTGGATGCCTACGGCGGTCCAGCCAACATCCTATGCCATCATGCGGACATTTAATTTGCGACACGTGCGTGGAGATAGACTGGGCCGGTGTCATTGGCGCGGAGAGCGAGTATATCGGGCGGGAATGCCCTGTCTGTGCGGAGCCCACTGCTATGAAGGTAAAGGTCAAACCACGAACCGCCGGTGCGCGTCTCATCAGCATTGACGGGGGGGGTACGTGTGGCATGATCCCCATCCAGATTTTATCGTCGATGCAAATGCTTCTAGGTCCTGATCTACCAATTGAAGATCTCTTCGAGTTCAACATTGGAACAAGCTCAGGTGCGATTCACTCCCTTTACAATTCCCCCCCCACAGCCATGGTACACGGCTAACTTTAACCAGGCGGCCACACCGCATTGGATTTGGGCAAGCGCAAACGTAGGATCGAGGACATCAAAGAGGACTACCCACATTTTATCAAGGAATTTCTTAAGCAGCAGAAGGACAAATCTCGTAATAGGTTCTTCTATGTGTTCAAGACTATTGCTTGGGACGGTTTGTATGATGCCGAGTCACTAGAAAATATCCACAGGGCGTACTTCGGCACATTGCGGATGTTTGACGCGTCGTCAACGATGGTCTCAGGCGCCAAGGTCGCCGTGCCCGCCTGCACGATTGAGGACGGCACCCCCAATCTATTTACCAACTATAACGCCGAGACGCCTTTGGGGCATGATCGTGGTATGTTTTCATGATGTCAAGCTGAGATCTTATCTGACGCAACTAGGCTACACCTGTATACAGAATAAAGCTGGTAAACATCCTTTTGTGTGGCAAGCGTGAGTCTCTCACGTTTCTTTCGAGCAGGTTGAAGAGAAAAATTAGCGCTGACCTTTCCGTAGGGCGCGAGCGACGTCTGCGGCTCCTTTGTATGCTTCTCTTCTTCGTGTTTTGGCCCCGATTCTAATGGTGAGGCAGTTTTTTCCCTTCGGTTACGATCGATGACGAAATCGGCAGCTTTATGGATGGCGGTATGCGACCGCAGTACAATAACCCCGTTAATCTGGGTTTGTCCGAAATCAGGCGTCTGTGGCCATCAATAAAGAGACCGGACGTCGTGATCTCCCTCGGGACGGGGACACAAAGAGGCCCTGGATCCCCAAAGATGTCGACCTTTCGCAATATCTTGACGGATGGATGGCTTCTCCGAGGATGCCGGTCTTACTGGGCGCTGTTTGATGGCGAGTTGACCTGGTTGGAGCTGGTGAACCGACTCGATAGGGAAGAGAGAGAGAAGTATGTTCGGCTCAACGTATGCTTCCCGGGCCCACGCCCGGCTCTGAACAATGCCGACTGCATGGGGGTTTTGTCGCGACTGGTACAGGAACAGGTGGTCCCGCAGAAGAGCAGACAAGCTGTGGTGCTCCTTCTCACTTCCTGCTTCTTCTTCGAGCTGGATGCTGTCCCACAGTTTCATTGTGGTCTCTTCCGATGCGTGGGCTCTATCCGCTGCCGCGGGCCCGCGAGGACAGTTGTTAGGACACTCTTGTCCCTTCAGTCCGCACCGGAAGAGCGTTTGGATTTCTACAAAGATGAGATAAACTTGGGATTCAGTCTATCTGAGGACAATATCTGCACAGATTGTCGGAGGTACTGTCTGCCAGTTCGATTCTTCGTTCGTCATTTACAGGAGCTATTTACACTTAAAATCCGATTTGACGGTTGCCAGTACACACTCAGCGGATTTCCCAACACCTCAGAGTTCTTCACAGAAGAGCAAGGCCTAGATAGTAGCTTTGGAACTGCCCATCATGATCGCCCCCTATACATCCGCTGTGGTCGATGCGATAGCAAAGTCAAGGGCAAAATAGAGGGTGGAAGAATATGAATAATTGAGGGTGCCTAATCTGCTTCAAGCCCGCTTGTTTTCTGAGATCCCTCTGTTCGCATTTTGTATCCTTTCAGCCGCCCGGTCCAGCTCTCCAATACATTTTGATATGGTGCCGGTGAGAGCCTGGATGATGGCTTCTTTCTCTTGGAGTCGTAAACGGAGGAGGAAGATTTCGTCTTGAATACTTGAGGTCTGCGTGGATACATCCCGCAAGTGGATGTCTTTCGGAGTTTGCTCCTTGTAAAGTTAGCCCGAACCCCTTTTTGCGGAAGCCATTCTGCGTCTTACCGTGCAGGAGAGATCTTCAGAGGATGCCATGTCTTGTTTTGATTCTTCACTCTGCTGGCGGGTACAATGAGCTATTTTTCCACCCTAATTGAGCACAGTCACTCTTATAGGGTATTTGCCAGCGGGTTGGTGTATAAACATGCCAGCTATCTGTGGTTTCTGTTTGCCACAGGGATCCTCTCTAGTGGCGCTTAGGAGAGGGGGTCCTGGTTGTGTTGGAGGTAGAAAGGGTGGGCGGGGGAGAAGGGGGGGAAGCTTATAATTTGACCTGTGGGTACTTAAATGCGGTATTCCCAGCGCACTTCCACGCATCTACCTTCAATCATCAATAACAAAATGGATTTTCCCGAAGACGACCCTTCATGGCCTTATGGCCTTGACGACCCCTTTCTTGAACCTTTTGATCTTGACCTGTCCCCCGGCACGTTGAACGCGATTCTCGGTGTGACTTCAGATGGTTCTTCCTCCGACGCTTCTGTCCAAAACTTGCTAGGAGCCGGGTTAGTTGGCTGGCCTGACTGCACTGATTCTGATTAACTGATCGATCCCAGGCGAGCTGAAAATTTCGGGAACAGGACATCCGTCCCGCAAGGCCAGGCCTTCGATTCAACTCAGCAATCTGACGACGTTGGAGTTGATCCGCCGCAACCCACACCGCTTGATCCTACCCTGATGATTCTTGACCTGCAGCTACAGGTTGAGCAGTTAAATGCCAGGTCAGTTGACATGTGAACTTTTACGTTGGTTCTATTGACTGAGTAGAGCAGGGTTTCCGACCTCATTACGTATGCAGTAAATACACCGCCAGTCACATACTCATCACTGACGCGTTATATAGATTGATTGGAGAAATGCGGCGGTGGGTGGAGAGCCTACCTCCATGGATGAAAGAAGTTAATGCTGGCCTTGAAAAGCTTGGGGTGCCACCATCAGCAACACGGTCTGAATTTTAGTATCGGCAGAATGCAGGGAAGCGCTTGTTATAGTCATAGTTAGTCTCATCTATTTTAGGTTGTTGCGTGGCGATGTGTTGATAGGGAGATATTGCTCGGTTGTCATTTTAAAAATATTGATCCACAGGTTTTTCAGGAGCAATGATTTGGCCGGGTGCTTCCTGCCTGTCCAGGTTTCGCTTATTTGCACCCCCCGGCGCTCGCCCTCTTTCTCCCGCCCTTGTCATTTTGAAGTTAATGCCCTTCAGCGGTTACATCATGACTCGCGATTTGGTGTGATGCGTCTACCTCACCGCCTTATTGGTTCTATTCCCCTGCTGGCAGTGGTGTGATAGGGAGCGCTAAGTGCGCTTCAAAATGGTCACCAGTCTAACCCTAGTCTAGTTGAACCACTCTATCGGTACCACCCGCGATCATGTGACCCAAAAGACACGGAAGACGGTTGATCCCTGTATTTCCTGCCTAGGGACCCTGGAACTTGTTCAAGCCCGAGCTTCGAAGGTGTGGTATTGAAGAAAATATCATCAGACAATTGCATTCTTCAGGGTAACTCGCCGCTTCTATATACAAAAATTTTTATCATACATGAGGAAACACAGAGCAATCACAGAGATGCGTCTGGAGCAGGTAAAATAAGATGAAAAGGCGGTGCGCTTCGTACTCTTGGAATAGTGTTGTCTTCCTCCGTCACAGGCTCTTCCAAACTTGCAATTCGTGTATCTCTCTCCAGAAGTTTACCTTGATACTCTGCTTCTAACCTGGATTCAATGTCACGGATGATATCGGTAATCTGACGGGACCGGTTCTGAGGATCAAGCGATCTATCCTCCTCCAGCCGCATCGTGTCAACGAGACTGTCCATATATTGGAATCGTTTCAAGACTCGGTTGAGTTCGGCGGATATCGCATTATGAGCTTGCTGTGCGGCAATTTCACCAGCACGCGCATTACGTAGGTCAGAGGCCAACCGAGCGTTGATGCCGTGCTGCGCCTGCAGCTCGTGTAGCGCGTTGGAGTGTGCAGCCGACACCTGGTTTAATTGCTGCCGGTATGTTTCCTCGTTGGATTTGGACTCATCAAGCAGCGTTTGAAGTCGCTCGCATTCGCCCTGCAGCCGTCCGATCAAAAGACTGTCCCGTACGGCACTAGTTGTTGTCTGATAGAGGCTGTAGTGCATCTGGGCTATCTGGTTATTGAGATGAATAATCGCTGGCCCCTCCGAATTTTGAAGTCCTGCCAAGAGCCCCTGATATGGTCAGAGAATGCAGAAAATTGGCAGCATTGTGCTCATACCTGATCGTGCTGGCCAAGATTATTTTCCATTCTGGATCAATGCAGCTCAGAGCTTAGAGAAAAGAGTTTTACATAAAATAAAATTTGGATTGTAAAGTATCAGGTAGGGAGGGAAATTAAGAATGAGATCAGCATATATACAAGCAAGTATGTACAAAACATGGCCTGGCCACTGATTCTGTACCTTCCTTGATTACTAAATTAGGATCGATCTTAACCTTTCTAATGCTGAGAAGAATCATCCTTACCGCCATACCAAAATAGTAACTTACCGGGGTCTAGCCTGTCAAAGCGCCATTAGCGAGGATAGCCGGCGAGGTGGATGCATCTCGCTCAATCAGATCACTGTCTAACAAATTCTTGTTTGCGTCTTACCATGTACGCGCTGATGGATGGTCGGTTGCTATGAGAGTATTGGCTGCCCTTCCCCTCTTCCCTGAATTGCAATTTTAGTCGGACATCAGGATGTACGCGCTAGGCAGTGAATGGGAACATAATAAAAGGATGTTGTGCACACCATGGAAGATCAGCAAGGGTCGAAATGACTTGCTGGTGGACTCCCGAGGAGGATACTCTCATTCTCTACTTTATATCCCGAAAAGTCAGTCACGACGCAACGTCGAGACTACTTAAACAACGAGGATACTCACGCACCGTCGAAGCAATCCGCACTAGACTACAGCACCTCCGAAGAGCAAACTCTGAGTTGGACTTGGACTCTAGGGCCTCAGTTGATCAGTATATTGACAGGCGACTAGACCACCACTACGTTAATCAGCTCATTGCATGCACGTCTACAGACGGTGAAATTATTCTCAAGGTTGTACATAACACCACTTCCCATATATAGAACCCGTTTTAACAAGGTTTTAGTGTTATGAGGAGATGGGCGGTCGCGGATGGTTGGAAGAAGAAATAGCCGTGGCTGTATACTTTGCTTCCGAAGGGGTTACTCACCAGACAATCACTGCTCTTCTCTCTCGGAGAGGATTTCCACGAACCTTGAATGCTGTCAATGCCAAGCTAAACCTGGTGCGTGCGAAGAATCAACTTGGCTCGACTCATGGTTGGGACAGAGAAAATGTGGATGAATGGTTGGACAAGTTTACAGATTTTCCAAGAATCAATGCACTCCTAAAACCAACGGAGGAAGACCAGAGGATTGTGAGCCAGGTTTGTATTTCTTCTCAATGACTGGTGATCATAGCTGACAACGGGAAGAGTCAACCATATCTCAATGCGATGGTATTATCCTACCAAGCAAGACGGTGTGCCAGACGAGGTGATGGAAACACATATGAAGGGAGGTAGCTCCTCCACTCCAGGCATAGTCAAGTCGTAACGATAGTCCATCCCCCTTTCAACTATCGATGATGATCATCAATTCATCGCTTCTAGTCCTGATGGGGAACTTTATGGCTCGGAATTTTGACCGGATATGAAATTCTAGAGTTAATGAAAATAAAAGTCTCATCTTAAGAAAATTTTAGAGTCATCCTCTGATGCTACAATGTATTTCTTCCTGAGCCATTTTCCAGTGGAGAGTAGAAGAGAATCGCAACTCTAGCAGAGGAGTTTGAACAAAAGTGATAAGTTTGTCTTGACGTTACCCTGGTCGCACCAATAGCGAAGGAGATATGGTCCTAAATCGTACACGTATCAGATACAGCCCATATTCATTCTTCAACCATTCTGTTGTAGACAAATCAGAAAATGCTGAGCGATTGAAGTGAAACTGTAATAGAGCAAGTTGGACTGGTTGCGGGTCAACTCAAAGCCTTTTGAATCAGATCACCCTCATTGGTCGGTGTAAGTTGTGAGATTATCAGGCAGAGTATAATGTGAATGAGAAGCTCCATCTCATCTCTCTCATCAACTTGGAACGGCCCAAACTCCTGAATTCGAAGAAGGTGCTTTTTCCCCCTTTGAGCAACAACAGGTACATCGCCAGGGCTAAAAATATAGTCAAGGTACTCTTTGTCGTAAGTCCCAATGCTGATGTAGAAGGACAGGAAATCTTGTGCAATCATGAAAGTATGGTAAGTTCCGGGGTTCCTCGGCTACACAGAGGTATTAGCCGTCAAAACTTCCCTTGATGGAAACGGGAGGGGGAGATAATTCACCAATTGATCGTTTTTGTGTCGTTTCCAGATATATGCAACATGCTCCATTGACTGCTGCCCCACGACAGTAACGCCCTGGCCAGTTTCACGATGGGCACGCTTGGCTTCGAATATCACCATTTCAGGAAGATTTTTGTCCGGAGGCAGGCTGAAGGGGATGCTCCCGTCTATACGTGCTCGGAACTGTACATGATTTGAAGCGATCGGACCATTCGGAAGTGGGCCAAATTGATAGGTTGTCTCAAAGGCATTAGCCACGCAGACAGTCCGGTAAGCAAGGGGCTGTAAGAGGCATGCTAAACCCCCTAGAAGATTGACCATAAAATCGACCACCAGAGTCTCAGTAGGAGTCCGTGGGTCCGGGATGTCATCTGGAATTTCGTCTAATGTATCCTCTGGAAGTTCAATGTTAGGCGGAGTAGAAGGCTCGCCTAGAGCCGGATGGTCATCCATGGCACCAAAATCTCCTAGGCGCAAACGCTTAGGATGCCTGGGGGTCGGAGAATCAGGCATTTGGCCTGATGAACTTTGAGAAGCGTTGTAATGTCCCTTTTTTCTTGGCGCGTAAGTTATAGGGAGAGGCTCTTCTCTTGGAGCAGTATGCAGTCCTTTGTCCAGAATTTGCCTTTTTAAACTAACAAGCATTGAGAATGGGCCTAGTCCATCTGCAAGCGTGCATAACCATTCACGAGGTGTCTTTGTTTGGGAACATATGACATCAAACAGAGTGTCTAACTTGTCGAGTCCGAGAAGTTTCCTATTGATAAGCTTTGTAGCTTGGGCAACATGTTCTTCACTGAAGTACGACCCCGTCCTGAGAATATATGGTAATGCATCGCCAACAGCCATCATTTCTGGCCAAATGCATCGGACAGTGAGGAAGGCTTCTTTAGGCACTGTTGACGCAGAGAAAGAACCTTATCCCGGAGAAATAAAGTTAGGGAATACTGCTAACTTCTGTTGAAGTACTTGAGAGGCCTACCATAGGAGCACAAGTCCTGGAGTTTGGCATTGACCAAGCAATAGGTTGTGACCATTTCAAGCCACTCCTGCTCAGTGGATGGGATTTTATCTAGGCCATCAACTGCCTTCCGCCTCCGTCTAGGAAGCTCCGCCATTTCGAAGAATACACGCGCGAGTGGGTCGGTTTGGAACGAGGTACTGTAGGACTAGGTTGAAGGTAAACGTTAGTATGGAGTTTGAAGGACCCACAGTTGCGAAGACTAGCGACCTTTTTCAATCCCGCTTATGCTTCAAGAAAAAACGTACCTAGTCGCCTGCCTCGAATACTAGCATCTAATCCGCTCTATCACTTTCTACCGCCTTGCAACTGTCCACCATCTTTTTTGGCTGCGCACATTCCGGCATTGGATTCTATATCAGCGGTCTAACGACAGTAGGTCGGGATCACGTGCCAAAGTGGAGCGAGAAAGCTGAGGAAGCTTGCCTTAGATCGACGACTTCGGCATCACGTCACAACATCAAGCGTCGGCTATCATGGAATGCGTCAACTTCAAGCCCTTCTCAAGCCCACATGAGTTCAGTGAACTGATGCGTGCACTTTTTCACATGTATAGGTCAGAAACTCCAGATCTGATCTCCTTTGACTGGCTGCAGAAAACATTGGATTTGGAAGTGGTTTGCAAAGACACGACAAAGGAAGAGGTTGGGATTTCAACCCCGCCGAGCCTTGAACGAGCTATCCGGAAATGTGCGAGGATCAATTCCCCAAATTCCCTGGATTTCCTCTGCCCGCCCGCCGACTATAGTTGGACTGGTTGGATGGGACTAGCTATCGATGACTTGAAGAAAGAAGTTACAATCGAAACTGAAGCAAAGTAAGAGAATAAACAGTTTTCGTCTCTTAACTCTATTGGTCTACGTTGTGAGTCTTTGTGACTTACTGTCCCTTTTTCCTACAGGTGTGATGGTCCATTGTTTTCCATCCTCGGTCAAGGCTTGGCCGCTGACGGCCACCGCCGCGTTCTTGCGCATCGCCTCTTTCGACACCGGCCAGATCACTGGGGCATTATGATCCGAGATCACTCACCGTTGAGCCAACACAAGAGCTGTAAGGATTATCTTCTTCGAAGTGAAATAATGGGAATCACTTCGATCATATACCGCCAGATGAATGAAGTACGCTGGGATCCATCGAAATCCAAATATACGGAGCCGGAATTAATATACTCGGGTGGTCCTTTAATCGTATGTTCATCGCCCATTTCTCCTCCCTTTTAGATGGATGCAACGCTGACATTCCTCTTGGCCACGGTTGTGACCTTTATTCCCGGCAAAGTACGGGTGGTTCAGGCGACTTGCGATCCGTCAAACGCATCCACCTCTCTTACGTTCGCACTGAGAGCTTTTTATAATCTTAGCATGTCTTGCTATGACAAGACCACTGCTCAGAAAGTTCTGAAATGGATTCTTTGTCCGCCAAACCCGGCTCAGGGTCTTCCGTGGAGAGGAAAGACAGCATAAGCTTTTGGTCAGCTGTTGATGAGGTTGTTGAGGTGACTGCTCTTTTCAGGTCATGTTTATTCCTGCTTAAAAACTGAGTGCAGGCAAATAATGGCGTTATTAATCTTACGAACGCATGCAATTTCCAGCAGCCCCAGTGCAATATCAATTGTAGATTTGTATCCTGCCAGCATCAATCTAAATCAGACTACATCTTCTCCCATGTATGTCAACTTTGCCCAATCTTGAAAGCTGGTCTTAGAACCCGCTGAATTTTTCATGCATTTGTTGATCACATCTTCAAATTCTCCGCAAGCTTTGCCACAGTGAAGCAGTGGAAGGTTGAGCTCAAATAGTTCATTCTCATAGCGCACAGCCATCTGTTGAAGAGATTGCAAAATCTCATCAAGAGACTCAAGCTCCTTCTTCAGCTCTCTCATCACCTATTTGGTACTGCAAAAGCTCTTGACCACCTCAGTGATTTGCTCGAGTTAAAAACAAACCCTGTCAGGGTGATGATATCAGAAGCAGAAAGACAGGTTCCGCCATTGCAGTGTAGGTTTCTCAAAATCAGGTCAAGGACAGTAATTTCCCAGTGAAGATTGTGGAGCAGCCGCCTTCGTGTATTGCGTCCGTTTAACACAAGATGAGCGGGACCAGATGGAGGATTTTGTTCGGGCAAAAATGCAGCAGATAGAGGAAAGGAGGTTGGATGAACATCAAACATTTGATCAAGTTCTTGAGTTATAGTCTAGGAAATTGACAAGAACTAAGATATTATTGCGAATGCAGATAGCTCTGCAGACAGCGTAAATATGCAGCTATTATATCCTTTGAAGAGTGGCAGAATGAATAGATAACGCCCAGAAACGCCTGATTTATGGCCTTCTGTCCTGGTTCTCTCAGATGTTCGGTTGATCTCTGCCGTGTGCTACCTTTTCCATTTGCTTGCCTAATTGAATTTGGCGTGAAGAAAGATTATGCCACTCAACTTGAAGCAAGGAACTCTTAACCTCCATAACGGGTGGGTCAAAAAAAGGGATGGCTACGTTATGGATATGAATGCGTGGCAGTGTCTTTCCGCCCTTTCAGTCTTGCTCGGGGATTTTTGATTTTTTTTTGCTCTGTACTGTTGACATTGGGATTATAGTAGATGAGCTAGGCCCAACAGCAACTGTGAGAAGCGAGAATGACATCCATCACTTAACTTTCATAGGAAACCCGCCCGGATTTTATAAGCTCCTCGGTTTGATCACGGGACTTTTACCTGGCGCATCTTCCTTGGTGTGGTGTGGTTAAATTAAGCTTTTGCCTTGGCGAACCGTTGACAGCTGCGGTGACGGTCGTGGCGTTGCCTAGCGGATCGCCCTTACGCACGTGCTCTAGAACTTGATTAAAAGTGTCCCCAGCCTGCCACTATCAGGACCGTTTCGTACTTCCCAGCAGGATAGATGATTGGAAGGTGCCATGCAGGCGCATCCTGTAGCTCCTTGGCCAACCCTTGTCTCCCGTTTCATTATACCAGAGCGCCAATATCAATGATGCTTTCCATCTTCAATTTCTTCACGCCGTTTTCCTTGCATAACTGAATCCAGCGGCTAAACAAATTCAATTAGCCAATAATAAAGACTGTGTAAACAGGCTTTGTAGGTGAATCCAGCAGCATAAAACTGAATAGGCAGCTCTTACCGATGCTAGGCGATATCCATACCCTCCACCAGGATATCCACCCGGATATCAGATTCTGCTGTAAAGAAAGCTAGATTGCAAATCATTGCTGCCATTTGACTTTGGTCCTGGAGGATCCGGTACGTTCCCAGCTAAGTCATTCTCCTCCCCGCTGCAACTGCCATCACTTTCAACATGTTGACGTTCCTTTTCGCATTCGCGTCGGTAGGCCTGAAGGCGCATGAGGCTCTCATTGGCTTTAGTTATGACATCGACATCGTTGGAGGTTAAGAGTTTCTTGAGCACCGCTTCTGTTTCGTCCATGGTGCATTCTTTGAGTATTCTGGCATCCTCGACCTTGCTCTTAGAATATTCAAGCGTTTGATAGATGTCTTGAAGTCTAGTGATGTCGCTGTCGTCGCGGCCGGCGTCGCATATTTCGTAGGACAATCGGTCTAGTGCATTTCCAAGGTTCTTTTCAAACAACTTCGAGTGTTCCATGTCGCCTATCCTGTCGTTCATGGCTGCGATAAGCAGGGAGGTACACAAGGAGGTAGGGACATCCATTTGAGGCTGTCTAAACACTTTAGGATGTATAGCAGCCGTTTCGAGTTGGGTGGCATAATGTGTAGGTCTAAATTTCTTCCCGGCGTTTTCCTCTAATAACTGAATCCAGCGGCCGGCAAATACGAAACAAAGTGGAAATGATCAGGCTTTGTAGGTGAATCGAGCAGCATAAAACTGAATAGACGGCTCTTACCGATGCCAGACGATATCCATACCATAGACAGCGCTCGTTGCGGGCTGATTGAGTGCTGGGCATGTCTATGCCACCGCTGTGGTCCTCCATGGTAGCATTTGTGAAGAAATCAGGTGGATATACTATTTGTGACCATATCTGGCTTCGAAAGAGGAAATCCTCTGGTAATTGGGGGAATTCCGTTTCAGTTGGGATCGGGAAGTTGACACTTTCAAGCCGGGATTCGCTGACAGATTCGCGGCTTAACATGTTCAGAAAGATAGTGATCTTTGTCCACGGAATTTCCCCTTCCACATACGCCATCGATTCCGGAATCAATGCCAGGCTCAAAATAAACGCCAGGGAGAGGTGGACATAAGGAAAAATATTTTCGCCCCGGGCACGCTGAAGAACAAAAGAGAGGGTATGAAAATTTAGATATGTGCTGTAAGAAAGTTTCTCCAAGGGGGTAGAGAAAGTTGCAGCGTCAGAAGGAATGCCATCTTTCAGAGTGTTTTGCGAAGGTTCTGAAGGGAGCTGGAGCCAGTACTGTTCAGCGTGCTGTAACCTAGCCTCCCAGCTCAGCTTTTGAGAGTCTATAAACATTCTTGTGAGAGTGCCATCCTCCTCGCCATATTGTAACATTGCAGCGATGTTGGGGATCCCATGCAGATTGTTGATTCCCCGAATTTGAAAGTCCGTTGCTCAATCTCAGTGTCAAAAAGGGCAATGTACTTGTTCACATACTCAATGAACTTGTGGATTGAACCACCGCGAAGAAGCATAGCATGCGAGCCCACAAACCAAGATGGTAAGTTTGGCGGGGTGACATTCTGCTTCTGAATTGAGTTCAATGCCATGTTAAAGGCAGACTCAACGGAGCTCTTTGACCTTTCGTATCGTTTGGTTGCCATAAGAGACCTGGAGTAACAGAACAATTGCCCACCCATGTCGGGTTTTGAAAGATTACCAAGTCGGTGGTAGAGACTTCCCTTTCCAGGGTTTTCATCAAGGGCCTTGTGATACCAACTCGATGAAATTTCATTCCAGGTCTCCCTCTCATCAGAATCCGTATCCTCAAGACACATCATGTAGCTGGTCAGGTCACCAAGACATTCAAGCCACAAATTTTTTAATCCGGGGACCATATCTATAAGCAGCGTCAATAGGCCGTACGCATAGTAGATGAAGGAAATCATGTAATCATGACTGTCCGGTCATCGAGCTTTCATGATTTTTAGCAAGGAATAGATTCCTTGGTACAGCATGCATGACGGCATGTTATGTTTAACAGGAATCGCCAAAATTTCTCCGTTGGTGATTGGATGTTGCGTACATATGAGTAAACCATAGTGGTGATCAATGAGGCTTCGATGCCATTTGACCAGATTGATCCACTGGTTTTCACTCAACTTTCCAACACATGAGATATTTGCATCTTCTGCAAGGCATCCCATTTCGGTTGACAAAATAACATCGTATATTCTGGCAGCTTCTGACGTCAATATCTCGAATGGCAACTCCTCAACATCATAATGGTGAATCATGATAGTTGTTTCTGGTGGTTCGGGGTCATGCGGAACGCCCAATGAGGCAGTTTTAAATTTCAAAACATCCTCCAACTGAGGTGAGACATATGGGTCTGGCACCCAACCATCAGGAAATAGGGTGCTAGATACTGTGGCAGGAGCAGGGGTAATTTGAACCGGAGTGGGAGTGGGAAGGAACCCCGGCGTCGCTGGAGCATCCGGGTTTGATATTGTAAAATCATAGTGTGTTCGCAGATGTTCAGTGTTTCCAGTTTGAATATGAAAACCACCCCAAGGCTGGTTTTCACCAGAGACATTGCCATGTGAATAGCCCGCTGAAATTCGGCGCTCCTCATCTTCGACGACAGCGGCGGACCGTTTCTTGCCTGTTGGGGTGGAAGGCGCTGGGTTTCTCAAGGTGTTCCTGGCAGACAGACAGTTTTTAGATGTATGTTCATATTGTCTTTTCGTGCAAACAACTTACACCGAGCATTCATATCTTTTTTCAGCGTGTTCATGGGGGAAGCAGGTTGCATCCACAGTTGTCATTTGCTCCTGCGCGCATTAAATCAGCCAGAAGTATGACCCATAAGCTGGAGAAATCTTACCCCGTGTGGAAAATTGATCTGGCCTTGGGTTATTGATGGAGGCTGAAATATCTTCTCTGTTGATGCAACGGCAGCAATCACTTTCCTCTCTCCCTCATCTGAAGGATTCAAAAGCGATCGGACATCCATTCTCAACAATTTGTCACTGTCCTGGCAAAGAATAGCGAGAACTGGGTTCACTGGAGCAGGGTCAATCGCGGTTCGTGTGCTAAAGAGCACTGGCTCTTGCTTTGTCACTGGAGAAATATTTGGATCAACTGGACAGATAACCACACGGCGGCTATTACAACTAAAGATAAAAAGGTAGGGTAAAACTAGAGAACAGCTAAAAAGTCTTTTGGAATGGGGCTGAGGAGATGGTTTGAGATTGGTCACTTGTTTTGGATCCTGTGATTCCATGCCAGCTAGCATTGTGTATGCACAGAATAAGAGATGAGGGAAGAGTGGAAGCAAGGCCTCTCTTTATGGAGTCTAGCGAGAGACACAACAAGGTCCAGAATGCAAGCCAGATCTTCGCTTCGCTCAACCCAACTGGGAATCAATATGTTCATGGCCATCCATACCCAATAGGCTATGAATATATAGAAGGGCTGAGGGCATTGAACATATTTACATGCGCCAGTAACATTTTCACCAAGCTGGCCATCTATGATTATACAGCCAAACCCGGACTGTATAATCCCCAAAGCAAAGAATTCGTGGCACAACAACTGCAGCTGGATCACACTGGTAGTCTCTCAATCATTGGTCTGGTTGAGTTTAGCAATCAGGCAAATTATGATAGAAGCCGTTTTTGCAGCCCAAACCTACCAAACCTGGAATCCTTTTAGAACCTATATTTTAAAATCTCTTTCTGCTGGGGCCAGTGCCTGGTGCACGCCTGGCGCATGCGCATAACAAGGCAGCCGAGTTCAGGCAGGCCGAAATGACAAGATCCCTTCTCATGTTTGGTGCAGGGGAATTTTCCGTCGTTTGATTCTAGCGGTGCATGCATGTAACAGGGCGCATGTGCAAGGCAAAAGATCATGCAGCTACGGGAGCAACTTCCTCCTGTGGGTAACAAGTGTGGATGGCCGAGGCAAGGGGGCTAGTGATGATTGTCAAAACAAGCGAGAGACAAAAATTTGGCTTGGTACTTGGTGCAGGGGACGGATATGTACACGCTATTGTGTATCCACAATAACTGGGGAACTTTTCACCGCTGGAATCGAGAGATGGGCTCTCATTGTGGCTTGTATGGGTCTAGCGCTGGGAAACTATACACCGCTGACGGAAGATTCCCTTGCACCAAGCATGAGGAGGATATAGGCAGCTTCTAAAAGAATTCCGGGGTTGATAGGATTTTAATGACCTTGTCATTATTTTAAGCTCAAAATACGCGTAGCCATTCTTTATAAGTCAGGAGGATAAGTGCAGCAAGCGGACCATATGCAGCAAGGCAGTACAAGCCATCACTTGCGATGGGAGCCCTTAATTCCAGCTGTGTATAGTTTAGAATTTGACATAGCTGAGGTTTTCAAGCATCCGGAATTTACTATTTCTTATTGGCACAAGCAAGGATGATTTCTATTTTTGGGTAACCAATCATTTTTCTTTGATTTAACAAAATTATCAACCAGGAAACTCCGGGTGCAAGTATTCATTTGGCGCAAAGCAAGGATGTTCTATTTTGACCAATCATTTTTCTTTGATTTTAACAAAGTATCAACCAGGAACAATCATCCCAATTGCGCCTGATATTTATGAAACAATATAGAATTCAAAAGATTGTCCGGCATCATTTGTAGCTCGCCTAGCTAGAACAACCAACTTCACCAGAAATCACTTGCCTCCGACATTTTCGACCGTTTCTGTTGGCTTAAATCGCCATCACTCAGTCTTTTACCCAACCGCCTCTCAGGCAGCGGTAGGCGAGAGACATCGCTGTCTTTGATTTCAGGGGACGGAGCCGGGTCTCTGTTGGGTCGTAAAGGGAGGATAATGCGGTCGAGTTCGTCTGCTGCGCCCTCAGAAGAGATCCGCTTTTCCTGGTACAGTGGCGATCTGCTGAGCTCTGCAGCATGATTCTCAAAATCCGTCCTGGCATAGAAATCGTCCTCCAGCTGGGGGGCGACCGCATGGACCCCAATACCTGTGCAGATTAGGATCACGTTCGCAGTGAGAGAAAAATCATCACTTTTGAGTACACCAGGCGCTATATCACCAGCGAGCCTTCTCAGTTCTCTCATCAGAGCTGTGTACTGTTCCTTCACCATCTCTCCTGTTAATTTGATGCCTTCAAATGCCTCGAGGTCCTCTAAAGTAAACGCGATATCAAGGTAATTGTCATCAGAAAGATCATCGGATTCATTGCAGGTTTTTTCCCAGTTGGTTGACTGCCAGTTCATAATATCCAGCTGCCGTCTGAGGCGGTGGGCTGTGATTGAAGGCTGGGACTCAAGAAGAACAATGCATAGATGCAGAAGACTTTGATGGACAGTAGACCTTCCAGTCTATTGAAAACGATGAGCGGAGAAGAGCAGCAGTTGAAATGGAAGTACCTACCAGGGTTGATGTTGCAGCATCATCATTTGCCGTCAGACGGGCCAGGTTCTCGTCCAGTTCCTCTATCCCCTGCTTGTATCGTCCCTTGATGTACATCAAATCACCCCGAAGACGGAGCAGGTCATATGGCTCTTTAGATGGTTTAGCCATATCAAATGCCCAATTGATCATTTCCATCCTGCCTAGACAATCCCCGAGAAGACAGAGGAGGGAGTCGAGCGCCCAGCTCTTGGAGTGTTGAATGTTCTCCGTTTGTTGTTCATGAGTGATGTTTCCCATGGTATCTCTGAGAATATGCAGACAATTCTTCAACTGCTTTAGGGCCTTTTCTACTTCTGCCTCCTTAGTCGTTTGAAGAAGGCATTGGAGCCCAGACTCGAATGCCTCAGCAAATTTCAACCATTCAGTCTTCACGATTTTCAGATACTCGATCATCACTGCATCGCAACAGTCACAGACGGCTGTAAATTCTCCTGCGAGCTCTTCATTATTTATAATCTCCAGATATGCTTGTTCAACAACTTGAGGTGCTTTCCGAGAAGCAGCTGCAGCGTGGAGAAAGCCTTGCTCATCACTGAGCCCTTTCAAAGAAATGTCTTGAACTCCGGAGACATTCGGCTTCTTGTTGGAGGTGATAAACAAATACTCTTTCCAACGAAACACATGGGCTCCATAGGCATACTGAGGGGATAGCCAAGTGCGAGGAATCACGGAGGGTTCCGGATCGTGAATGCGGTAGACATGGACTGTAGCTGCCATTACGGTACCTGATAGATTTGTGAGCAAACCTTGATACCTGCATTGCGGTGTGTCAGGGATTCTTTACCTATCTTCTATAATGCCAATGATGTTTTATGTGCGTGCCTCAGAAAACTTCATAGGAATAAAGGTTTGATTGAATGATCCAGGGCAGACACACTGGGCAATCAAGCATTCTTATACCATACCAATCCGCCCACTCTTGCTTACAAGGAAAACGGAGAAGGGGAAAAAAAGAAAAAAAAAAAGTGTGATTAAACAATCTATTGAATGGCTGCCCCTGCCATAGTTTTATATGCCTTGCCTTCGGCCCCTAGTCTGCGCTAATGGCCTACAGTACATGTACCAGTTATGGGATCAGCGCATGCAACCAGCGTGTAAATAGGATGCGTCTCATTTTGAGCAGCTCACCCCTCGATTCTTCGTGTTCTCCCGCCAGCAATGAGGCGTTGTATGGGTCCCGGCGTGAAAAATCAGCATTAAGAGTGTGTATGCTAATAGGCGAATGCGAATGAGTGAAGAATTAGGAGATTGGATGGTACTACGGCAACCCTAAGACTTTGTACCTGAACATAAAATTAACCAACAACATTATCCTCCTGCAGTAGCAAACCGGCCGAGAAAGTCATAAAATACATTAGCCAACGCCAAACATCCGGCCGGATCAGCAATACCCGAAGCCAAGGAGTTGAACCTCTTCCAAAGCTCATCAGACACTTTGAGAACGCGATAATTACTAAGGTGCAATGTCACAGTTAGGCCATCCAGGCTGAAATTCAAAACAGTGCTCTCTTGCCAGATATTTCCTGGCAAGTCTGAACACTTGTAGAACACCGGTCGTTGAAGTAGAAGTGATGCATGACTTATGCAATCTCGATGAGTATATAACAGATGTGTTGACAGCAGCCCTCTCAATTGTGTGAAGAGGAAGAGGATGGTATCATTCAATCTGTTCATCAACAATTGCTGCCCTGCGTGTTGTCGGAGAGTTTTTATCAGACAGAGTGCGTATGGTAATGCCAGAGGTCCATCAACTCTAAGCTCGGAGAATGTGTGAAAAACACTGCGTTGCTTGTGCAGCTCTGAAGTATGAGTCTTCAGATACTCCAGCCGCTCTTGAAGTACAGGCTCTGAGATGAAAACAATGAAAGCCAAGGGTGCATTTTCATCACCGCGACATATATATTTAGAATTAGCATTGGTGATGTCAATTCCATTTGTATTCCATACATCACCACGGATATCAGAATAGTCTGAGTAGCAATTAGCTTCATCAATTGAGTACGGGTTATAGCTGGATGAATGGGACTGGAGATCGCGAGCCTCATTATTGGGAGTAGATTGAAACGGGGGCTTGCCGTCACCAGTGGTGGGGTTGTCCTTGCCTACGTTAGCTGCGCTCTCCTTAAGAGTAGGTGAAGAATAGCAGACTCACCATGGCAAGAGATTCCGTGGAAGCGTGGATCCCACTTTGTAAATCCACGGAACGTAGACAGGGGGAAGTTGGGTCCTTATATGGCAATGGGTGTGAGCTAGAGACACCGTAGTTTTTGGCCGTTTCCCTTCTAAAAGCTTTATGCTATCTCTTTACAAAACCGGACGACGCCTGGCTGGGGTCGAAAAATTTGAAGAGTATTTCATTCTGGGCGCCATCGCAGTGCAAACCCCTTTTTATGCAGTTGCGACAGGCAGGTGCTGCTTCATCACATTTGACATGCCTTGCCTTGCAGGTCAAACAACCAGTGAAATTTCTATCACAATATCTTCACTGATGGGTTGAACATGTGGTTGACTGTCTCACGCCGAGGGAATTGGGCTCCTGAAATTTCTTAGTATAGAGAGAATGGATAGGTGGTGTGGAACTCACCATCTCCACAAGACAAAATCTGCCGGGTTGGCTTGTGGGAAATATTTTAAAGGGATGTCAATGGAGGCAAGAACCGCTTCTTATCACCTTTGGAATGTTAAGAGCAGATACGCCTCGCCCAACTGGAGCCGATATTTGCATGGCCTCTCGATTATCTCTCGGTGAATGAGACACACAAAGGGTAGTCATAATTAGTTGTGCTGTCATCTAACCTATTGCAATATACATTCTACATCTTGAAATATTGTAACTGAAAGCTGATAGGGTCAAAATCTAGAGAAGCTTTTTTATGAACGCATTCTGTGTGCTTAAGCTGTCGGAAAAATTGTTGACCTGAAAGTCTGTGAAAATGTAACCAGCAAGATTCTATTTTTGGGTAACCAATCATTTTCCTTGCAACTAGTCAACAGAATTTGAAAGATGCTCACTTGCGCATTTGTTGACCGCTGAGCCAGTTACTTCGCAGTTGCAGCACTTGATGGCTCGATTAACCCAGGTCTGCCGTTTTTGTTGTTGCTCTCTCCACTTCTGCTTCAGTTTAGAATAAGGCAACATCTCGAGCACAGAGTCTGTTTCTGTTTCCGGGTTTTCATTGATTTCAATAGCTTGGCTAAGCGTTGCTGGGACTGCGCGCGTTTGGTTGTTTGTCTGAGCATCATGACATCTATTCACTTGGTTCGGTTTGTGTGATCGATCAACAGATCTTTCCCTACGCAGTCTCCTTTCATGCAAGCACTCCGGACACAATGTATGGCCACATAGTTGACATTCCCCCCCGCTGCTAACATCCTCCCTACATACACAGCAGTAGAGCCTCAGATGTTGGCGAACTTCGGTTCATCTTTTCCTCCCTATCTCAGTCTGTGGAACATGGGCTGTGGTTTGATTGTCATCTCAATCTTGAGATCTGTTGGTTCTTTTGTTGGGTTCTGCATTTTCTCACATCGCTAGAGTGCTTGTTCTCTTCCGCCTATCTGAGGTGTTAGCCACACAATGAAAAGAACATTCTAAGAGAACCATATACCTCTCAAAACCAGAATCACTTTGCTTGCTGCTGTGTCTAAAGTAACTGCGTACTCAACTGTATCTTCGCCAGACCATGCAAGCGAAGAATATCGTGTTAGCTCTGAAGAAATTGTGCTTGAGTCTTTACCTTTAATATTCTTCTGGGGTGATAAGCCCGTCAAACAGGATACTTATGAGTTCGCCTATTTTGTGAAGTAGAAGCATCCAGCCGCACGACAAGCTTCTCAGCAAAGATAAAGACAAGGAGGGAGCAGAAATGAAACCTGCAAGTTAGGTCAATTAATATTGTTATGATATTAAATGAAAATAGCTAAAACTATTCAACATTCAAGCAATTAGAAGCAAGTAAATTTAGAAGAGCATGGGCCCTTGCTACATCAATTAGTATCCACAGACAATAACATTTCAATGCAATCAGAAACAGAAAATGGTGTCATTGCTGAAATTCACTAACAGCACTGTGTTTCCCAGTTCAATAGACTGAGCAGAGATATTTTGAGTCATATAGACATCAAGAGTGATAATCAACATCATCTAAGAGCCATGTCAGCACATATTGGAGTGAGAGCTGTGGTTTCACTGAACTTACTTCAATTCAGAAGGGTCAGTCGTGGACGAGTCCATCTACAGCAAACCCTGCTGTTATGAGAACAAAAAGTGCATGGATTGTAACTTCATGGATTACAGAGCTCTGAGATGGTATACCGCGAATTCTGCATCAAAAAAGCAGACCGGCAATCACAAGTATCATGTAGTCGATAGACACGACCACAGCTGTACCTTTCACCGACGCCTCATAGACGACTGAGCTAACTCAATGAGCACAAGGCCTATCAAGATTGGGGAGAAGAGAACACACACCATAAGATCAACCCGAGCTTTACCGCTGGGGACAGAAAACCATATCCTAGAAATAATCAATGCAGCAGGGTGTTCGTAAGAGGTCCAGCCTGGATTTTGGTCTGCCGAATCATCTAAACATCACAATTAGTGAGGACCAAAGCAGGGGACAGGGAATAATGTACCTCAAGGGCCAGCGGAAATGCTGTACATATTCCCAAGGGATAGTAAAATGCTGGTGTATCTGAAACAAGCTTTTAGCATTTATCCATCTCAGTAGAAGGGGCTTCTCACCCCCGCGTCTTAAGCCTAATAGACCAATGCCAATGACGACAGCATTGACGCAGACAAAGAGAACGAAGATTGATATCTCAGGCAATCGGTGAGGCTGGGGGCGGTGAACCGTAAGCAAGATGAGATGCACTGTACTTAGCACGATGAGCGCCGCCGACAGAAGCGCATATGGGATGTTAGGATTCATTTTGCAAGAAAAGGCAGCCAAGTCGGTCCACTTTGAAATGATCCATCGCGGAGCGATGTGATGTGGTTTATAGCTCTCAGGAAGCCAGTCTCTGTGCGCCTCGAATGGGGGCTTTTTCGATGGTTGAAGGGTATGCCATCCTCATTTCAGCAAATGTTGGACGACAAAAACGTGTCCAGAACCTGTACAAAACACTAATTCATTTTCATGAAGTTGTATCAGAATGGCCTTCAAATAAGTAAACCAACCACTGGCTGCTCTTTACATACTCCTGGTCAGCAGCCAACCCGCACGTACAGCAATAGCATACCCTGGGTGATGGTACACCAGCAGCTCAACGCTGTCCTCATTTAGCCAAATGGCGAACACTAGTCGGGATTTGAGACCATCCAGGCACAGCTGGTCCTTTTGGGGAAAGTTCGATATGATAGTAAACGAGATCAATTTTCCGGACAGCAACCCTATTGCTGTGAATGGCTTAGCTGATGAGTAGCCATAGGGGACTGCATGATATGAAGTGCACGCTCAAGCGCCATGATCAAGATGCAATCCCATGTTTAGTAGCTTGGGTGACCATTCATTTCAATAAAATACACGTCACATTTTGTGTTCGCCGCCCAGTTGTAGGGGCTTTCCTACAGCGGAATGGTTTCCCTTACCAGCTGGCAAGGGAAACTCAAGAGATCACTTCCTTGACCGCTTCGAACTTGTGTCCATCTCATCAGACAATATGGATTTCAAGCCGAGTCTTATTGCTGCTTTGGCACATTTCAAGCTTTCTGATGTTCTTCAATCACAGGTAAGAATACTGAAATAATTGCTTGCTCAGAGTTAATAGAGAATAGGAAATTTATCATTGCTTTCATTGCTTCTTCTCCCGAGAAAGTGGCCGGAATCTTCTGCAGTTTCTGTGCATCTCTCTTTCTTCTTCGCATCAAATATTTCCTTCCCAGAGCACTCGAGCTATCTCCCAACCCACGACGCGGCCTCAACCTGGTTTTGTTCCTTCTACTCCAGCTTCTCCTCCAGCTTCCCCTCCGGCTGCTAGTTCTCCAGCTCCGCTTCGTCAGCCCAAAAGAAAGAGAAGCGCAAAAAAGGTGCAGCAAAAGAGGCTTCTGCGCTATGAAGCAGGCTTCAGCCTACAGAATAGTGTGACGAAAACAGCTGAGACCTACTTCAAAGATCAAACAAACTGCCGTGATTTGGTTGACATCGCAGTGCATCTGGTCAACAGTCAACCTCTCGAAGAAACTGTTTACGAGAGCTTGTGGGAACGAAGTGTTGATATATTCTCCAAAACCAATTCCAAAGCATCTCGAGTTCGCCGTCTTGAGGCGGGTCGAGCTGTATTGCAAAGAGAATGCCTTGCAAATAACTATGCTAATCGATTGGGCCTGCTACTTTTCCGTATTGAGCTTGATGAAATGATTCTTTCAGTTCCAGATAATAAATGCCGGCAGGGCGTCGGCAAAGCGACAATAGCCTATGAAGACTATGCAAAGGAAGCTGGTGTGAGTGTTGGGTATGTATCACAAAATAGATCTCTGAGCCGCAACTATGCTCGTCTTGTGACCACAAGTGGTCCTGGAATTTTGGCATGTTTGAATGGACAATGTTCGAGAATGTGAGTGAGCCTCATGATCCGCCATTACTATCTCTACTAATGTTTCCCTAGGTGGGAGAAGGGCTCTGTAGATGTTGACCTACTGCTTAAGTTCGTGAAAGATAAATATCCTGAACGGGAGGAGACCTTTCACAACCATGACCGACTATGCGCAAAGGCTATCCTCGATGGGCTTAAAGCTTATGGATGGGAGAATGATGAGATTATTGAGAGCAAGGGAGAAATGTTGACGGCCGTGAGGGAACTTGTGCCTAGAGCTAATCCATTAGGAGGTATGTTTTTCAGTGCAGGACTGTCTGGAAACTATCTAACAGTCTCCTTAGACCTCAGCCATCGTATAAACTCGCACAGTGACGCTCCAATGCGAGCTCTCGCTGCTGCTGCGACTCAATGCGAAAACACATACCAGTTACAGCCAATGGATTCGGTGCGCGCGGCGCCATTAAACATCAGCTCCAGTGATGCCCAGAGCAGGTTGAACCCTGAGGACTGTCAAGCTTATCAATCCCCGACTATCCACACTTTTCCCAACGCCAATGTCGAAACCTGCTTTGCCTTTTCTTCACCTAGGCAACCTTCAATTCCCCATTCTGTCAGTATCAATTTGGATTCCTGGTCTGCCTTTCCTCCATCCAGACAACATTCAATTCACCCCTCGGCGAATCTCCTTCCTTCTGCCAATCTTGACTCCTGGTCTGCCTTTCTTTCACCCAGACAATCTTCAACCGTTCCACCGGATGCTGACCAACCTCCAATTGACCCGACGACAGCCGTTTATCCTACGGACATTGACCTTGACTCGTGGACTTCTTTTCCTGGACAATCTTCCGGGGGATGTTAGCCAACCTTCCATTAATCCCGCGAGGGATTTTGGCCCTATTCGCAACGACCTTCTGGTCTGCCTGCACCAGCATCCCAACCCCGCCACACCACGGATCTACTTCTACTCGTCCGAACAGATCAGGCTCTTAAGCTCCAAACCCGAGTACTATAATGAACGACTCCTTGTGGAATACAAATAAGGCCTTAAATCGTAGATTCACTTTGTCATTCTAGTACGAGAGTTTAGGGGTTATTTATCATTTGTTGAATTTCGCGGAAAATGGACAACTATCGCCCCAAGCTGTTTCCCATCATCAATGCTGAAATCTGTATGTTTTAATGCGAACAATGGCTTCTCCCAACTCCAATCTATTTTAATGTTATTTCCCTCCTTGTCTCTGACATAGACTTGTGCATTCTCGATAGCGAGTAAAGGGACTATCACAGTGTCGTGTTGTCCGCCAGCTGAAAATTTTCGTCTCAACACAGCAACATGTGAAGATAGTGCGGAAACTCCAAGTAGTGACATTCTCTACACCAGATGTTAGATCATTCCATTATGACATTGGGCATTTAATCAACTAACTTTCTGGTAAAGCTTCTGCGCTTCCCCGACAATTGGTAGGCAGTCATTTGGAAGAGTGTATCGCGAAGCATCATGTGACGGGTCCGACCGGTGTACCGTGTCGTAGATGCTGTCAACTGCTTGGCTCGCAGAAGGGTGAAATTCTTTCGGCAATTGTAAATATTCAATAGGATCGACAGTGGCTTGCATTTTATTTTTACCGGGGCTATTGGAAATTGTTGGCGTTATATTACCGCAAGACCGAGTCCTGAAATCGCTCCGTAGTGTAGAAAGACAGAAATTGTGTTCTAGTGGAATTAATATATTAAGATTCAATTTTTCTTCTGTCAGGTACACGGGGGTGAAGATATATTTTTTAATCAGCGGCAGCCTGCGGGGCATGGTGGGGGTCGTGTGATTTCCGAGTTTGCTGGTTGATGCGGCCTGTCTGCTTGCTTCGAAAACTAAATCGGAGAGGGAAAAGTATGATCCGATAGGTCTTTTTCTGATCGTTTTATCACGTGATTTAGACATTTCGCTCGCGCACTGGAGGGATTCTATCTTCCCGTTGACAAACCTCAGCGCCAGTTATGATCTCCCTTCCTTCTTCTCCTACATTTTGCCGAATTTTCGCAAACGGGTGGACATTAATTCTCATTTACAGAATCTTAATCTCACCCGAGCCCGTTCCGAGACTATACTCTGTATGGATAGGTGTTTAATGTTTCCCCGCCATTTCGGATTATGTTGATTACTCCTGACTGTACTCTTTTCCGTTTGTAAAATTTGAGAGTAGCATCAGAAGCCTCGCGGTCTATTTCTATTTAGAATTACTTAAACAAAATTTCTTGAAATTTCTTTTTAGTGAGGAAAATAGAAGCAAAATAAGAGGACAGAGATTGTAGAGATTGATGATGATCATTAACACAGCAGGTTGATTGGTGTACATTAAACCTAAATTGGAATAGCTGACATTCCTCAAAATATTATTTCAATTCCCCTATTTTGTTCGCGCTCATGGCCATTCCGTCGCAATCAAATAGGATTAATCTTGGTTCCTCGCGGCCCTATCCGTTCCCACATTCGCGTTCTGCATCAAAGTCAAGCCGGATCAACCTTTGACCATAATCCTATATATCATCTGTTCCCAGCGAGCTATCTTCTCTCGCAAGTATCACACATCATAAATTCCTAACCATTCTGCACTTTTGTTCCCGTGTTTGCTTTCATCACATAACTTACCAACCGAACTTTTCTCCCCAACTTCTAATTAACCTCGCGCCTACACAACGGTCTTTTATGCCGTCTAAATGGCGGGACTTTCACAAGAAGATCGCATCATTATCAAGAACCATCCTCTAACCAACTTAGTTGATCGTTTACGAGGCGCGCTTCAGGAAGCTGAAAGAATATATGAGTCGCGTCTAATTTCCTACGATGGCGCTGTTGATAGCCTTGACCCACTCTACCAAGATGTGATTTCCGAACTCGTCTATACTTTGCAGGGAGAGGGTGCACCTACAGGCTTCCGTCGCGGCTAAATGATGGGGACGTGGCGTCTGATCTAGCACAATTATTCGAGCGCCTCCGAAAGGCAAAAGGAAACTTCAGGTACGACGACTACCAGCCGCTGGTGCACCTGGTTATTCAAGGGCCTCCCACCGAATCCTAGAACGTCGAAACCTGGAACTTCGATGTAGCTTTTGATTCCGTGGGTAGTCATTAGAATGAGTTTTACAAACAAGCTCGTTTCATCCTCTCAAGTAACAGTCGGAGGCTGATAGCCCACTTTAGGGGATCGTTGGCTGTGTCTGGCTGCTTATAATTTCACGAAAATTTAAAATCGGAGAGGGAAAATTAAATAAAAGTAGGTAACTCACTGTCTCCTGATGACAATCAATAGCTCACAGGACACATGGGGGGAGGTTTTCAGTTTAAGTTATTTCATTCATGTTTTCTGTATGCAGAGTTTCAATGTATGACATTCGCAAATGGTTCGCCCTTGTTTAATTTGGCTGCCGGATTCAGTTATTCGCTGAAAACGGTGCGAAACTTGAAAACTACATACCAACAAATCGGCTGCATGATGGGGCAGTTCGTCAGGTGTAGTTTTCTTGGCTCGCGTCTGACGAGTGACGGGCAAACGTTGATCCGTGTTATTTTGGGCAAGATGACTTGGCATTATTTCGCTTCTCCCCACCACTAGAGGATTATCGCCCCTCTCTATGCCACTAAATTCCTCGTACCCATTTCGCTTTTTTAAATAAGGCTTTATCCCTCTTTAATGGCCGATAACAGTTCATCAGATTACGAGGCTCTCTATCATAGAGCGGAAGCGGAACGAAGGCAGGCAGAAGAGCGAGAGGCACGGGAAGTAGAGTTGCGAAGGCAGGCGGAAGAATTGAGAAGGCAGGCAGAAGAGCGAGAGGCACAGGAAGTAGAGTTGCGAAGGCAGGCGGAAGAATTGAGAAGGCAGGCAGAAGAGCGAGAGGCACGGGAAGTAGAGTTGCGAAGGCAGGCGGAAGAATTGAGAAGGCAGGCAGAAGAGCGAGAGGCAGAGGAAAAAGTGCGCAGCCAGCCGACAACACTCGGAGAGCTTATCAAAGGTTGTCATGATTCATTCTCCCAGCCTTTGCAGGTTGGAACGCCATCCCGCTCCACGAAGGGGAGTATTCCACCGCCCACTGGGAAATACTGCCCAACGAGCCTTCGTTTTTGGTCAAGTTGTCCGGTTCAACTGCAACAAATTTACAATTCGGTTTCCACTTACCTCCAACCAGCTGGACAAGACACACCTCGGCTATTCACATCTCTTCTTGTGCTAAATGAACTTGGCCGGCGGTATTCTAGCCGAAAACTACGAAGTGAAAAGGATCTGGAACACTACGAGCGAACCGCTGTAGAAGATCATGTCCATGATATCATAGCTGAGCTATGCAAAATACCTGATGCCCGAGAGAGATTCCGGCTTGGAGATGGGATCCTGTTTGAAAATCATGAAAATCTTCTACAGACATCAGAAGAGTCAGATGTACAGCTGCTTGATGAATCCAGTACAAAACATCCCAAACCAGATTCATTCTGTATTCATCGAATCAACGATTCCACCAATACTTTGATTACGACAGTCGAATATAAGCCGCCACACAAGCTCTCAGTTGAAAATCTCCGAGCTGGTCTTCGATCAATGAAGCTCTGGGAAGAGATTGTTCAGTCAGACACAATCCCCAAGAGTGATGAGCTGAACAAGGATGAAAAGCTGAGATATAATGCGGAACAGCTGACTTGCTCAGTTTTGGTTCAGGAGTATCATGTCATGATCCAAGCTGGACTGGAGTACTCCTACATAACTAATGGACTTGCTATTGTTCTTCTTCGTGTTCCATACAACGACCCTAGTACGCTCTATTACTATCTCTGTGAACCAAACATGGATGTGATTTCAGAAAATCCTGGGGTCTTTTATCAGTCAAAGACAGCTATTGCCAGAATATTATGTCTCTGTCTGATGTCCTTTCTCTCGGATATCCGTGACCAGAAGTGGCGGAATGCTGCAAGATCCCAGCTCCATATATGGAAGACAAGTTTTGACTTTACACGGTCGCAAATCCCCGATGACGAGCTGCAACAAACTCCTCCAGGATCGGAATATGCAAGCTCAGAATATATACCCTCTGAACATCTGCCATCATCTCCATTACAGCCCGGCCATCGAGTTTCTACCCGATCTCAAACCACCTGTGCACCAATGGATACCTCACCTTTGAGTGATCATATGGATTCTTCCGACTCCGAATCTAACCAAGCAGCGCACGGCCGGAAGCGGGGCTTCAGCCAAGTGATGTCCTCCCCGCCCAGCCAGCGTTCATCGGCGCGCCCAGCAGGTCCTAGGCCATCGAGCGGTCAGAGCCAACACACGGCACGTTACTGTACGCAGCAGTGCTTATTGGGTTTGCAACAAGGAGGTGAATTGGACCATCAATGCCCTAATGTTTCTCTCCACCGGCGAGGCCAGAATGATGATCGACATTGTATCAATGCAAGGAAGCTTGTGCAAATACTGAATGAACAGCTTGATCGTGACCTTGATCATAACTGCACACCATTTGGGACTTGTGGATCGTATGGTGCACCCTTCAAGATCACTTGTGCTGCATATGGCTACACTCTTGTTGGAAAGGGGACAACATCTGGACTATGGAAAGTTGTCTCACGTGAAGCAGAAATATACCGGGTTCTTCAGAAAGCACAGGGTTCTGCTGTCCCTGTATTTCTGGGGACGATTGATTTGAAATTATTCCTTTTCCTCCATGGTGCTGGGGACATCCGCCATATGCTTCTCATGGGTTGGGCAGGGGAAAGTATAGAAAATGTCAAAGACAATGAAGAGCTAAGTCGTGAGATTTCCAGGTCGAAGAAGGAAATCCGCATGCTGGGAGTGGTTCATAAAGACCTGCGGTCTGCCAACATGTTATGGAATGACGAGCTGCGCCGGGTCCTGATCATAGACTTTCACCGGTCCGACATAGACAGGCGCCCGATGAAAAAGCGGGTTGGACCCTTGAAAAGACGACTTCATCAGGTGGGCATGTCGAAACGACCCTGTAATAACAATGGCTTGACTGGGTGTACCTC